TTTACATGATTCACGCCACGCCGTCGTACGCCGGGGGTGGTACCGGCGGCGTGGTCAAATTGACCGGCGGCGGCGTAGTGCGTACAAGCCTGGAATGTATTACCTAACAATATGTTATTTCTTAATTAATAGATGGATTACTGCGGGCGCATGGGTCATCCTGTGTAATTATAGCTCCTTTTATTGTATACTCTGCTGTTGGACGAGGTGTCAGGCGTGTAGTTTATAAAGTTTATAATAATACTAAGAAGTAAAGATTGTTACGGGGATTATCTGCTCGATACATTAAAATCATGAAACTCATCTTTTTAGAAGTATCTTTGACATCTTAATCGATAAAATTGATATCCTTGATCTCTCAGTCAATATGAGTGATTTATAGTGAGTCTTCTCTGTATCTTCACTTAAAACAACCAATTTTTAGTTTTTGCCACATGGGAACTTATAGATTGTTCTAGAAGGGCTCCCGACAGAGTTCCAGCCAACTTGAGTTCCAGCCAACTTGAAGCGATGTATTTTCGAGCGCTAATTCCGAAACACCCCACATTATCTGCTTATTTAAGTAGGTACTGCACAAATCACTACCACTGTGAGATTATGACTTAGGAAACTTCCGCCCTTGAGTCCTCCGCCCTCGCGACTTCCGCCCTCGCGCCTTTCACCCTCTTGAACGATTCCCCTTGAATTGTAATATCACATCTGTTAAATTGAGCAGTACTTCCTTACTATTTATTTATCTACAGACATGTAGTTTGATATAATATGTTACAGACGGAATTGCTTATAAAATATTATAGTATTCGAACTACTGCTCTGTCAAATTTCAAATTTGACAAGAATTTGATAACTTGTCGAGTAAGTAGTTAGGCTTATAATCAATACTGTCGCTCTTTGAGCAAGTGACTAGAAGGTTTTATAGGTAAACGTTTTGGTATCATTTGATAAATGTTCAACGTGGGATCAAGTTCTCCAACCTGATTGGGTTTAAAATGTCTTATTTCTGCTAGTTCTACGATGAGGGGGAGCCCATGGTGCCACCTTCGTCTTGGGAGTAAAAGACATTGATTGGGTTTCAATTTTCTTATTTCCTATTTCAAGCCTTCGGCTTTAATATTTCCCAAGTTTCCTCAGAATACCAACCTTTAAGTTAGCGGATGCATTACTCAGGGTGTATGCAGTCACAATCCCCAGATCCTCTCTACAAACGCATAATATAACGTGACATTATGCCCTTATAAGGACATATCACGTGACATGATGCCCTTTTAAGGACATATCACGTGACATGAAAAACCACGACGATATTTGCTAGCGGTTATTATCCACTATGGTTTAGTTATTGACTATTAAAAATACCGTCAAGCCCAAATAATCAGTCAGCCAAACCTTCCAGCGAAAAATCGCGGTGAATTAGCGTCTTACCTCAGCTATAGGAGTGGTGGGACTTGTCTCTCCGCTAATCTCCTCTGTATTCTGAATCTCACTCTGTGTTCCATCTCGTGAGTCGCTCTCTATTTCATCTCCTGGTTTAAAATTATTCACTGTTACTGTTAGTGTAATTTAAAAACTTTCTTTTCCATTTTATGATAAGTATTCAGGTCAGATCTTGTGTAAAATCCGGATTGGAATATTATTCACGAGTCGCATAGTTGAAATGTTTTCTAGGGTAAATTTATATTGATCCAGTTTGATGCGACAATGAAAAGGTTCTTATCGGGAAAGGAATTATTCAACGTTTCAATGTGAAAACATCGTATTAATGATATAGAACATTCAAAAATTTAAATCATCTTCTTTTACAAGCTCTAAAACATCACGATCTGAAGGCAATAATGACATCATAATAATTATTGTTATTATTATGCTCATAATAATAATATTTTTATTATTATTATGCTTTTGGACACGAAGGGAAACACACAACGAAAGGCTTGAAATCTTCGTAAAACTATATCATAAGAGCCTCAAATTATTTGTTATATAGTAGTGTTGAAAGTATTAAAACCGTCATTATTGTTATCAGCACTAACCAATAGTTGAGGTAGGGTTGGTTGTAGGTGTAACCAGTAGTTCTCCGTTTTCAATATCAACTATCTCCAGAGACATACCGGTTCCTGGAACAGTCTGAAAAAGTAATGGTTACTATTGGTTACTATTGGTTACTATTGGTTACTATTGGTTACTATTGGTTACTAGTAACCACTCAACTATCTCCAGAGACATACCGGTTCCTGGAACAGTCTGAAAAAGTAATGTTACTATCGTTGGCCTTTATAGCTCAGTCACTGATTGCCCGATTGAGGTATAACTTACTATCACCACTCATTCGAGGAATATGTTTATTTTTTTGGGAGGATATTCAGATATTCAGGCTCCACCTTAGCATTATCATACTGTATAATCCGTTTAGCAGAATAATTTGACAGCGTCAATTCGCTGTTCGGTTCGCATTTTCAAATTATTGGGATTTTCGATTTATAAACTTGAACGATATTAAACAGAATAATTTAACAGCGCGAGCTTCAACTAAACCATCCCCGTCGGTACCAGAATTGTACACAGTTCAAATCATTTATGTTAATGAGGGATTTTACTCCTGTTAATTCACTGGTTCGCATTTTCAAATTATGCGGATTTTCGATTTACAACCTTTGAACGATATTAAACAGGATAATTTAACAGCGTCAACTAAACCAACCCCCCAGTATTAGGATTATAGTTCCAATCATTTACGGTAACAAGGGGATTGAATGTTCGCATTTTCAAATTCCAGGGATTAAATACCTAAAGCCACGTCATTTCGATTTATAACCTTTTACTTGGGATTGATCTAACCAGCTTTCTTATTAATTTCGAACAGTTTACCACTTTATGACTAAAAGCTAAAATTAGAATAAAATATCATTAAAGATGGAGTCCAGCTTTCATCTGAACTTAATGTTTAATGATCATTACGTGCCTCACCTGTTTGCAGTCCAATTGGGTTTTTTGTTACTATTGGTCACTAGTGGTTACTACTGGTTACTATTAGTTACTATTGGTTAATATTGGTTACTAGTAACCACTCACCTGGAAGTTCAAGTCAAGTTGTAGCCCAGGTATTGGAGTTTCAGGTCTCTCACAGTACAAGGGACTGTCCAGCCTCAAAAACAGCCTGAAAAAAAAAACATAATTTTTAAAAAACATCATTGTTAAAGAACACCATTTACTTTATTTTAAAATTAGTTATGTTTATGTTTCATAACGCTATTTATATTTTATTTATGTTATATAATTTATGATTATGTTTAGTTCCACTATACCATGTGATCCATTATCATTTCTAGTCAGTTATGCATGAAATGAAAATTTTCTTGGGCAACTCTGCAAGGTCCATACAACCAAAAACAATTTCAAGCCCAAGAATTCAGACTGGGAAAATTATTTATTGGCCAAAAACTGATTTGAACACGCGCATACCAAATTTTTCTAACCTTAATTATATAATAGAAACATGTCAGAGACATTTAGATGCGTTTAATCTGACTTATAAAACAAAAGTTAATAAAACAAAAGTTAATAAAACAAAAGTTAAATTTGTTACCAATTATTCAATCAATACATATCATAAACTCTAATATCTATACCACACAGCAAAATGGATGTCTTAATTTTAAACTATAATTTCGTTGAAACTAATAATCTAAAAGTTTGAAGTTGAATTGTAATTAAGTATGAAATGCCACCTCATCATAGTTAAGGTAAAAGATTATTATAAAATTGAGAAGATTGATCTATTTATTGTTATAACTTAAAATTCAAAATTCTAGCAAGTGCTATTTGACAGTTGGTTACTGCAATGAACACATTTATAGTAAGTTATAATAAATTAAAATTTGCCCTAAACGCTTCCTTTTATTCCTTTTATGAAGACATTAAACTGTCGAAACTGGATTAATAATCTAGTACCCAACACCTAACGCCCTAACGGTAATGAATGATGAATATATACTGAACATCGGAACAAATTTAATTCGAAATCAAATTTGCCATAATCGTAAATTTAATCAATAGTTCGACGAACTCTTGGTGCAATTTCGGGACATAGACAGTCACCTATGATATCGTATTTGAAAGGGTGTAACACGCGGGTAATCAGTTTTAGCGGGACCAGTTGACTTCGTCAGTTGCCTTCTGAGTGATTTAAATTCCGACGAATCTCTCCACTTATTAAAGGCTTGTGCAAATGGGTACAGGTGTTCTACGTCACGTTAAAATTCCGTCGTAAAGTACTGACCCACACAGTGTGGCATTTCTCTTGAGTGCCGTGCCCTTGTGAGGGATTATTACTATCTTTATTATATTATATTTTTAAGATTAAAATTGGTCATTAGAATCACCCTCTCGGTTTTACAATCAAACGTTATTCTACCGGATTTAAAGGTCTATGAGATCCCTAAATCCCTAAATTCAGGTGATATGATCGACCTGTTTGACAAGTTCGGCTAGACATATATAACATCACATCTCCGCACACAATCCTCGCTTGGTTCGGCTAGACTTAAAACGTTTAATCTTAAAAGTTGAGTCACTTTATGTTGTTTGTACCTATCTGTCAGATTGTTAGATATTACAGAGAGAAATAAATATTCCCTCTGTGATATACTGTATATTTAAAAGGCAGTAGTTGGTGTCATAGTGAGCAGCAAGACAGCAATATTTAAGTGTTGTCCCTTATTTTGATATTGTAACTATATAATTATAAACACCTAAACCATGAATAATAATAATAAATTGAATTATAAACACTGCTTTTAAGTTGTAAAACTTTTACTCAGCTGCAGCGTGAGAACAACTAGAAGAGAACAAACTGAGATAAGTGCCACAAAAACTCTATCCTAATTTAACAGCATTCCCAGCAATACACGATATATTAATATAACTCAGTAACCCAGAGTCTCGAGTTCATGAATAAAGTTTTTCCAAATCATGAGTTGATAAACTGAACAGATAAGTCTTGAGGGCCGATTTGAAGCTGTTATGTCAGATATTTGGAAAACGATAACAGGAAACGATGTAACAGTGTCGATATATTTTAATGTTGCCATGGGGTGGCAAGTCCCCATACATCGTGGTCCGATAGTTTCATTGCGCCTTAATACAGGGTGTACCACAGAAAATGTGAATTTTTTGAGAAATGATACAAAATATTATGAAGGAGCAGTTGCTAAAAACTTAATATATCAAATCACCTTTAAATACAAAGTAATGTTTTGATTTTATTAGCAATTCTAACTTTGTTCTTGTGATTTGATTGGTAATTCTAACTTTGTTCTTGTGATTTTTTTGGTAATTCTAACTTTTTGATTTTATATTACGGATTGATACGCAACATTACCCGCTAACCTGTTGACATTAAATCTATAATACTAAAGAAATCGTCGCACTTAACCCTGACTACTGTCACGGCATTCTAACACAACAGCATAGCTTCCTTGTCTAGGAGGTATACAAGATCTACGGTACTGCTAAACCCTCCACTGGAGCCCCCCCCCCCCCCCCCCCCCTCCACTGCTTTAAAACACCACTACTTTGACTTCTAAATCATCTTAATTAAACTAATCATGGCTCGTACCCGATTTGTTGTCATTTATTAGGAATGCCTGACAGACTGTTTAATCAAAACCATACTTCTATGTAAATTAGAAAGTGTGGTTATGATTAAAATAAGTCGTTGCCTCCCTAAACTTGACCTTTGCACTCAGCAGGGCTCAGCATGGTTCCTAACCAATTTTATTCTAGACAGAAAATTACAGACTCTTTGATCAAAATATTGCCAGATTTTATCGAATTTACTAGATATCGGATATAGAAATTGAATTGAAAGGTTCACAAATTTAATATATAAATCAAGAGGCTTGCATATAATGAACATATTGACATGGGTGCAGAGTTGAGTCTGTACGGAACCTAGTAGTTTCAGTTCCTTGTTTAACTTGCCGTACAGCAAGGACATCCACTACTTTAGCCCTGCTTTGTGTTGCCTATGATCGTATAATACAAACCTCAGAATTGAGCTCCAAATGCACTTGGCCACAAGATTGTAACTCTATTAATTATTTCTCTAGAAGACTTGAGTAGCTGCTACCCCTCATGATTAATCACAATCACCGCTGTAGTCAACTCTTACTTGACTCTTACAAAGTAATCAGTAGATAAGATCAGTGAAAATTCACAGAGCTAAACCGGAGATCACGCCACAATCTGGATATCAGGCAACAATCTGGAGATCACCCTCGTAGTGATGATGAACCCAGCAACTCGTCTAGTAATAAACACGTACGTTTTCTGCAGTGCAGTACCATGCTCGTAATTAATCATGAAATTCATCAGTAACAGGACAGTTATGTGTTCTTTTCTGCCGTAAATCTGGTTTTATCACCGACGAGAGATGGGAGACAATCAGTAGATAGGATGAGCTCAGGAACAAACCCCCACCTCGTAGCAAACCTGATGAGCCAGGTCCTAGAAGGAGCATTGAAATGATCGGAGAGAATCGGGAAAATCGCTGATAAGCTCATCTCAATCAAGTAGTAGATTGCAGGGTGGTGAGTAGGAAGTGATGGGATAGAGCTACAAAGGAGGTGTCTTCTGATTGGTTGGTTTGTGTCACGTGGTGTGTATTCTGTGTTCTGATTGGTTGGTTTCGTGTTCCTCGGGCTCTGATTGGCTGTTGTTTGTGTGACGGTGGCGTGTTTCTATCAGTCAGTAATTAATGAATCGAGAAATCTTCATCTTGATCAGGTGGGTTGGTTAATTTTCAACAGTAAAATCTTTGCATAAACTTTTAAAATGCATTTCACAAGTTTAAGCTCAGTTTGGGAGTTGTGTCGAGTGTCTAGCAGCAATTATTATCTGGTAACTCAGGTATTTGAATAATAAATATGCAGTGAAATCAATCTTGAGATGAGTTGTAATGCGAAGAAGACGCAAGTTTTCTCAAAACATTGTGCAGGTTATGTGAAACAATAATGTGCTATTTCATGTTCGTCTACTGACTTCTACTGCAAACCAATATTTTGCAGTTTCGGTTGCAGGTGTTTTAGATCAGCTGGTGTTATAGATCAGGTGTTATAAATCAGAATAATAATATGAAGAAGATTCCCACCAATAAACGCCCAGGTTCCACCCGTATCCTTTGTATTGGGTACTGTTGAGAACAACAGGTATTTATATAGTTATATATAAACTTATAAACAAAAATTCATTAGAACTTTAGAACTGTTGATATGATATTGCCCAATAATATATTTGGTTTTTTTTTTGTTTTGTTGGCGAGCGAATATGAAGCCTGTTGATAGGATGTTGCCCAATAATATATTTCACGGTTTAGTTTTTGTTTTGTTGGCGAGCGAATATGAAACCTGTTGATAGGATGTTGCCCAATAATATATTTCACGGTTTAGTTTTTGTTTTGTTGGCGAGCGAATATGAAGCCTGTTGATATGATGTTGCCCAATAATATATTTGGTTTTGTTTTTGTTTTGTTGGCGAGCGAATATGAAGCCTGTTGATATGATGTTGCCCAATAATATATTTGGTTTTGTTTTGTTTTGTTGGCGAGCGAATATGAAGCCTGTTGATAGGATGTTGCCCAATAATATATTTCACGGTTTAGTTTTTGTTTTGTTGGCGAGCGAATATGAAGCCTGTTGATAGGATGTTGCCCAATAATATATGTGGTATAGTTTTTGTTTTGTTGGTAAGCGAATATGCAGGATTGCCGGACTCCCGAGCAAGGTCCTACAATATGGGACACACGCGGCGAGCAACACAATTATTTGTTGCTAATCCAAACTGTTGATACCAAGATATAGGGCATAGTTATATCATTTTCAGCAGGCATTTTAGTCAACAGAGTGGGCCAGAAAAAACTCAATTTGTACAGTTTTTAGCAACTGCTCCTTCATAATATTATGTATCATTTCTCAAAAAAGTCACCAAATTACATCGTGGAATCTTTTTGCTGATCCAGCACCACAAAAACCCGAATTTGGGTTTTTTTTAGTGAGGATTTAAGCTCATTGGTAAATTGATAAACAGTTCGTCGTGAGCTCGTGACATGGTGCAGTGCGCACCGTTTATACAGGTTTATATAATTTTATACAGGTTTATACAGGTATATATAATATAAGTTTAAAATTTCATGAATTTTATTGCATATTTTAAAGTTTTAACTGTGCTACGCTAAGGTTAAATACTATTTGTCTGCTCTGATAACTGTTTCAGGTCACGTTGCGTTCATTTTGTGCCACTCTACAATATCAAGCTGACGTTGTTTTGACAAGTTTTTACTTTTTATGGTACTATCCTTACTAAGGTAAATACGTTTCAGCCACAATAACCATTATTTATATAGACATTACTCAGTAAAATTATTTATAGGCATTACTCAGAGAAACCGTCGTCTGAAGCAAAGAGCTTTTTAGGTGATCAGTGGTTGGTTAATATTATAAGATACCCATATAAGGGCTTTAAGTCAGCAACATAATTAATGGCGGATCAATTATGTGGCGGTGAATGAACCTAGCCAGAAACATTTAGTCTTAAGAAGTTGAAGTGACTCCAGATATTTCCATATAATGCGTGTTAGCAGTAATAAAGGATACATATTTGATAGACATGTATTTAAATGTTTAAATGAATTTACTGCTTTAACGGCAAAAGGCTGGTTAATGTAATTCACCACGTTACAAGATCAACTGAATATCCTTTGCTTAAAGATTAAAGATTAAAGCCATGTTTTAGCATCTTAAAGCTTTCAATGTGTAGTAAGAAAGGTGTTTTTTGTAAGCTGGCATTTAAACCATGTTACTTATTAAATAATCTTATTAAGATCCATCTTTGTTTCAAATACTCCTTTCTGATGGATTAAAATAAATTGCAGCTTATGAAATAAGCTGGGAGCTTTGTCCTCTTTAATCCGTACTACATCGATCTAACCGTTTAGTACACTGAGTTAAAAGCTTTTTATCCTTTTACTAATTTTACTAGTTACATTTACAACTACTACTGAGCTATTTGTCAGTATAACAGGATTAAGGATTTAGAGATCAAACTGTTTAGCTGTATTTAAACATTTAACGCTAGTATTGGCGAGCGTCTGAGACCTTTGACGTCTGTCAACTTCTTTGAAATAGTAATGAGGTAATGCGCTATTTCATAATATGTTTGTACAGACCCCCCCTCCCCCGGTACTGGATACATTTTGAGCGCGAAGAGCCCCTAAAAATTACCTCTTGTATGGTGCTCAGCTTGTTTTAAGTTGTAATCTAACCAAAGCAAAGGTTGATACCACAATTCAATCAAAATAGTTGCTATATTGACAACAGTTAACCGCAGTATTTACGATAGCTGCAGCATGCACCGGGGCCTGGCCATCATATCAATTATCTATCATATCATTAATCGTTGATTGCCTTAAACCATACATAATAATATCATCAATAAAATCATGTTTTGAAGAAATAAAATCTTTATTCAAATGAATCAAGAATTGATACTCAATTGTGTCACTGACTAGTAACAGTGTCTTCAGTATTGTACATTGTACAGTTAATAAACTATACATACCGTTATTATAAATATTGAGATTATTTTTGTGAAAAGATTACTATGGATATTCATATATTTATTATATTTGAACTGTATTTGAACCGTATGCTATGAGCCTAAAAAGAGAGAGAGCACTATCCTAAATAAGTAAATAACAAAGCGAATTGAGTGCGCTATATGATATTATAATTCGAGAGTATATCCAATCAAATCACAGGCAGACACCTTGCAGAAAGTCCGACAACGTGGCTTTATTTTCTTATATATTTTTCTTCTCTTACGGTTCATTGTATTTTCAAATCATATTTCATTTTATTTCCCCATATTTTTATGATACGTTTATTCTATTTCCAACGCACGCCACTATCGTAGCTATTGATCAAACTCTACGACAATTCCAATAAAAATTTGTCTTAATGTTGACATTGGCTTTGCAGGGGTCCATTTCGATATTGAATCGTTTTTCTCATCAAAAAGGCAAAAACCCACAATTTGTTGCTAAAATAATCTCCCTCCCATTTTGACTCTTCAGTTCATGATACTAACAGTAACTTAAAGTAACTTACAGTAACTTAAAGTAACTTACAGTAACTTACAGTAACTTACAGTAACTTACAGTAACTTACAGTAACTTAAAGTAACTTACAGTAACTTACAGTAACTTACAGTAACTTACAGTAACTTACAGTAACTTAAAGTAACTTACAATAACTTACAGTAACTTACAGTAACTTACAGTAACTTACAGTAACTTAAAGTAACTTACAGTAACTTTATACACTCACCTCAGTTGATCAGGGTAGAGTCTGTGACGAGCCAGAACTTCAAACACGCTTACAACACGCACGTGGGCGCTGTGCGCAGGATCTGAAGGGAGTAGAAGTTTTTAACATACAGGTAGTGAGACTGTAAACGTGCACGTGGGCACTTTGCGCGGATCTGAAGATCATAGTTGTTTTTAATCTAATATGTAACAGGTCAAGCAGAACGTACGCTACTATTGGTACTTCAACGTGAAAATGTACACGTGCTCATTATATCCCTTCCACTGTCTCAATTGCAACATGAAACGATAATTATTTCAAAACATGACCATTTCTATCAGTGGCGTAACGAAAGGCCCTGCTGACCCCGCTGTGCAGGGGGGCGCCGTCTTAGGGGGGCGCCAAATCGTCGTTTGAATGTGGGACAATTTCGAAAACTTAACTAAAGTACTAGCAAAACTGCGCGTTTTGCTCTAGATACACACTTTTTTAGAGATTTTACTGGCGTATTCTTTAAAATCACCTAATTTGTTCAATTTTAGGGAGGGGCACTAAAAGGGGAGGGGGCGCCAACAGGGGGGGCGCATTTTTCGGCAGGGGGGCGCCAACAGGCAACGTTACGCCACTGATTTCTATCACAATAACTTTATATTAATTGACGCATGAGAGCATGAAGACGAATCATAAACCATCAGGGAGCAGTATGATTGGTCTGTGATCAATGGTACTGTGGCAAAACCCCTACGAAATGATACCCCATAAGAACGCTTCATTCTGTTCAGAAATTATAACTTATAATAAGGTTGATACATGTTTGATTATAATGATGTATATTGCAATAAAATGATTATATCAGCATCATACTCGCCCCAGCATCATACTCGCCCCACTGAGACTGTCACTGATCAGTGATCACGTGACACTGAGACTGACACTGGTTAGTGGTTACCCACGTGACTTAAAGTGGACACTGCCACGGTCAACAGGGAGTGGCCCTAAATCAGAGACAGAACAGTTACCAGTATGATATCTATCATTTTCATAGCTTTATAAAAAAGCGCACGTAACTTCATGATAAGTGTGACAGGTGACTGCGTAATATGTATTATTTAAGATAACCTTTGAATTCCTATTATCTTATTATTAGCAGCTAGAATTGTAAAACCTGATTTACCAACAAACAAGGATACTTTTAAGGGAGTAATAGTAAGCCCTCGCCGGTGTCTGCACGTTGGTAATGGTAACGCCCATTTTTGTATAGACATTTAAAATCGCCTAAACATGCCCAAACCTGTTTGTGCTCCATTCGTGACTACTAGTCTCAATTTCCTATTATATCTTTAAAAGTTGAAAGCTTTAAAGATTGGGAACATGGGAACATGGTAGTTGCAGTATTGAAGGACCGGTCAACTGGAAGGGCAGTTTAGCTAAAAGGGCTTTAACTTTAAGCTGTATAGCTATAGTCAGACCTAGCAATACTTCAAGAACAGTTTACAGTTCAAAATATCTAGAATCGTTTTGTTGTTTTTGGTTCTTCTCGGCTTGATAACTGAGCTTATTACTCCCAATAAGCTGCAGTGACAGAGAAATGTTTCTCATTTCATCGTAAACTATTTTATTTGGCAATTTTCCATTGACCAAATTGGTAAACCTCACAGTTGACTCGAATGATCGGGAAATCGTAATTGAGGAATGTGTGGTGAACTTGGAATTTCAGTTCTCTCCTGATTATTATGTATATAATATAATAGTTCTTAGATTGATAACAAAATTGCATAAATTTCTTCATACTCCAGATCCTCTGGCTAGACAGATATTAAAATTTAATTAATTTGTCAGGAGCGCCGTATGTGGTGCTCGTAATGCTCGTCAAATTAAAAGTGTAAATTGCCTGATAACGCACTTGGACATTAATATAATATTTAATATACAATATGTTGGCTCTGCTGTGGTCTTGCTACGTGAATATATTATATATAATATATAACTAATATATTATATTAGTTTGTTTTATCTTTATATAATATATATTATACGGTTTTTCAAGATTGATTTACAAGATTTACGAAGATTTCAAGCCTCGTATTGGGTGTTTCCCTTTGTGCTCAAAGGCAACATAATATAATAATAGTTACAACAATGGAGTTGCACTTGAGGAGATTAATTTTGGTTACTGTAAGCTCTGCAGCATTTATTGTTATTTCTGAATAAAAAAGAAACAGTTCTTCGTGATGTTCAGTCACTATTATATAGGCATAGTTCCAGTGTAATGCTTCTTTAAAATAAGCTAATTTATAGACTATTTTTTGGCTCACATATTACTTTATAAGACGTACATATAAATGGGATAGGTTTGCTTTAAAGGCATTTATCAGTTACTATCTGAGTATGATTGTTTTCTACTAGGTCGCTCTTTATTCCCATAAATCCTTAGTAACCTATAGTAACCTATAGTAACCTATAGTAACCTATAGTAACCTATAGTAACCTATAGTAACCTATAGTAACCTATAGTAACCTATAGTAACCTATAGTAACCTATAGTAACCTATAGTAACCTATAGTAACAAGCACCCTCGTCTGGTGTTCGAAATATATTACTGCAGCAACGTATTTTACAGTTCTTCAACCTGTGACCGACCTAATAAAATTACGTCCCAGACGTAATCATCTGAACACAGCCCCAGTGTCTACCACTGAATTTAACATATTGGAAAGTGCAATTTATTACCCCAATTCATCCCATCATTCATTATATTAGAAAGTGCAATTCATCTCAAGATTCAGCATATTGAAAAATGCAATTTCTCACCAAATTCACCTCTCTCTGTCGATCCGAAGAAAGACACGTGACAATGAAAACTTCAGGACCGAAACGATGTAAGAGAGACAGTATGTGACCTAGAGAATTTGACCTAGAGATGGCTGGGGACTATATTACCCCGTAGTAATATGATGGTCCTCAAACTGCGCTTCTCCAATCGTCACGTCCGAGTAATAAACTCAATTTTTCTCATACCACGGATCTTGTACTATCAGTACGATATACTCATTCATCAATTCAAGCATTCAAAATGGGGTAGAGTTTCCATCGACTTGCGAATCGAGAGTAAAGCTTCAATTATTTCACGACTTAACTATATCATGTTGAGCGTCTGGGCTGGTGTGTACTATGATTATATTGCTTTGAATTTGTATGTATATTGAATTATATTGTATTTCAGTACTATGTAACCAGGCGGCAAATTTGAAATGGGTTATGATGGGGTCCGCGGTAGTCCCCACGCATAGTATCATGTCCTTGTTTTACTGACTACTTCAATGAAGATCGTACATATGAAGATAACTTCGTTATCTGACATTGTTTCTGGTTTTCGATTGGTTGCTTTAGAAAGCTGACAGTCACTGAGTCACTGTCAAACAATATCAATCACTTCCCCACCCACCATCAATTAATCAATAGAGCATGAGCATCAAATTGTTATCACATCATATACGATATCAGTTGTAAATATCAGTAGGATATCAGTAGTAAAGTAACGATATCAGTTGTAAATATCAGTAGGATATCAGAAGTAAATATCAGTTTGAGTTTATTTGAGACTGACCTGTAAATACGTGGGAAAAGAGGGTGAGCAGAGATGTTAGGAACTTGGTGTCAGAGAGCAGTTGCAGGTTGTGGGGCAGCAGTGTCATCTGTAACACCCACTCACAAACTGTTTTTAATATCTCGTCCTGAAATTGTGGTTTCATGAGAAACAGTATTAAGCTGTAAGTGAGAATTTTCAACTCGTAAAGTTTTAAATAGTTTTTTAAGTATTTTAAGTATAACTTATAATTCATATAGCTTAACAAGATGGCTAGGCTAGAATCTAATTCTCGTAGTTTAACAAATATGCTTAATATAAATTGTAATATTTAACTAGTATATGATTTAGGCTAGACATAAAGAAAGGCTAGCTTTCTTCGGAATTCAATATAACTATATAATATCACGATCAGTTTAGTGGTTTATATTAATTTTAGGACTGAACGTTTAAACTGTTTGATTGATCTAGTACAGTTAAAGAATTTCTTGTTATTACTTTGAACGAGGTCCCTTCTACAGACTACTAACCTTAAATACTTCCTTGCACTAAAAATATAAATTTTAGTTTTAGTATTGAGGCTACCCACTGACTCTAAGGAAATAGCTCTGATATCGAATCAAATGAACGTACTTCATGTTTACTAAAAGGTAAACATTACCATACCAATAGTACAGAGATTCTTAAGAAGGTAGCTTTAATATCCAATCAGATGTTTCAAGCGTACTTAAACTCTTAAAGGTAAACACAAACATATTATTGAATACCACAGATTCCTAGACAATAGCCCAGAGAACGCGGTGGAGCCCGCGGTAGAAGCAATTAGCTGAATTGGTAGTACTTTTATTTTGGAATTCAACTTAGAGATCCATTCAAGTAATGACGTGAAAGTTTAGTTAGTTAGCTACAACAGGACCTTGCAGTACCTTACATCCGGTCCCACAGTATCGCTCAGCTGATGATAGTTAGGTAGTTTCAATGTCTGGGCTATTATCGTTTACTCCTGGGTCTTCATTAAAGGGGGTTTATCATTTTTTCAGAAACTACAATGATGTTTTGATATTTAGTTATTTGCTAGGAAAAGATTAGACTTGGGTGCAGGATATAACAAATTTGAAATCAGCACTTCCGACGAGTACCAGAGTCTCGAGCCTGGCTCAGCACGGAACTCGTTCCTCTTGATGCTTGATGTTTGAGGAGTATTGGATCGCATCCTTTTTGGCACGCTTTTCTAAGTTATTTCTAGTGATGATTGGGTGAAATTTTCGTTTCAAAGTTAACTATTAACTGATTGGGTTGTTAATTATTTTCCCATTAAAGGAAAAGTCCAAATTGGGTGAAGTTGTCCGGTAGCCGTGACACCACGTGACGTCACGCCAGTATTATCGAAATGTTTGAAGCCCCAAAAGATTATAATTAAAAGTACGTGGTGCGTCATTTATTAAAAGATGATTTATTAATCAGAATTCTTTATGAGAGAGCAATAGTTGAGGTAAATTTTCACTAAACAGTTGCAAAGTGTCATACAGTGGTCCCTGTTGGTTAGAATTTATCAAACGTTTCACTCATTTACCACCGCTGCAGTAAACAGTAAACGGTTAATGACATATTTCCCCAGACATATCTCCCCAGAATAGTTGCTGTAACGAACCATCAATAATACTGCACACCTTCGGATTTAAACACGACTTCACAAGCCAGACAGAACCCATCATTAATTCCTCACAATTTGCAATCGCGTTGCCTTGAGACAAATTATATTTATAATGACATAACGGGTTCTCCAGTTCCTGCATATTACATAAAGACACCATAAAGAGAGCATTTTATGCTTTGCTGGACACCTGCTAAGCAGCTGTTGTTTGCTCTCCGCCAATCAAAACTGTAATCACATTTATTCTTATTTATAATAATATTATGAGCCACTTGGGTGGCATTTATAATGTGCTTAAACCGTTTTTATCTATATGTATTATCCAACCCATTGTTTATTGTTTAACTGTCCCATTCGGAATAGATAACCGAGAAATAGAGATTGTTTGCTTTTTTAGTTGTATTAACCTGGATTCTGAAAGAACCACCACTATTCTTGATACCAATTAAAAGTTCTTTGAATTTTAGCGTTAATGAAATAACACATTAAAAGAGGATGAACCGGACAAACAGTGGCCTGATAGTTTCTACTGCAGTGCTCTCGGACGAGGAGCTCATCTTCAAGAAGATCATGCAGACCAGAGCTATGGGCATCCTTATACCAATCTTCATTCTTACAGGTACTACCCGTTATACTTGGTATATTTTGTTATTTACTGCTATTTAAACTATTAAAGGGTCTGAACTTGTAGGCGCGCGCATTGCTATGGTAACTGAACGCGAATAATCTCAAATTCAAATAATCACCATGGTAACAGCTTCCACGTGACAGGTTTATGTTGTGTGGCGTGTAACGTGCTGATATGGAAATTCTACTTCCAGAAGAGGGATAATCTCATGCACTACCTCTACCTTCTTCTAGCTACTTCTGATATCTCTAGGTGAGAAGATAGGGGGAGGGGTGATACACTGAACCAGGATAGCTTAAGAAATGTTTTTTAACACTGGATGAAGTGAATCAGGAAAATATTGGTTGAAGGAATTTCTATGTTCTGACGTCTCATGACTCCAGAGTCCCAGCTCTCCAAGTGTTAAAATACCTTGTAACCACTAAATGTGTTGGGCATTTTCTAACAGCTCATGCTTTCTAGATAACCAGCTCTGGGTTCGGACTTGATATAACTATGATTATAATTATAAGTGGGTTTAGCCGGGAAGACGCAGAAATTGAAACGCCTGCATGGTATGTGAACGCACTGGTTACAGATAAACGCCTGCTAAGTGTAGTATTTTCATGCTTGGTGACATTACAATCACACTGAGGTTTAAATTGCCAACTTATTTCTGGCAATTTTCGATTCTGTCGGTTCTTACATCCTATGGTTTAGAGTTTAGACCCAAATCTAACTTTAACACTATCAATATTACCCAAACACGGACCATACCCCTTACCCAACGTACAAATCAATGGAAAGGGGTTAACCCTAGAACTACGCGAATCAAACTGGTTAGACTATCCATCATAGTTCGTACAACTAACCACCTTAACAATTACTTATCTATCAGTTAATTAACCAATTATCCAATAAAATTAACCGTATTATTTCTTCAGCGGGATATCTGCAATCCTACACGCTCTGGTTTGGATCTTCTTCGTTACAGGGAGGAAGAACATGGGAGATTACTGTACTATACTCGCCTTCTTCATTACAGGTTCGACTTTTATTCTTTACAATTTTTATTTTTATTTTTAAAATACTAATTTATCATTTACGTAATTCCGTTTTATAAGTACTATGTTATATATTACTTATAATTCATATGTTATTAACTCCTCTTAAACAGTAGGGTCTATAATACGAAGGAGAATAATGTAATAATTCTTCAATTAATAAAATAGTGCAACTTTTGATGCTATTGAAATTAGTCAGAGTAAGGTTGCTCCCACAGTGTGAACAATGTAGATTTTAATCTAAGGTACATTATAAAAGTGATCATATTAAAGTGGAGCTCAAAGCTGTCAAATATCAACCCTGAAAATAAGCTGATTCAAACCAACCAACCCTAATAATATCTCTATATTTGACACGTGTGTGTGTGTGTGTGTGTGTGTGTGTGTTATACCCTAATATGGTGTCTTACAGGGGTGTCAGCGCGAGTTTCAGCATGGTTACAGCTACTGTTATCCTTAACGAGAACTCTAGTTATCTTAGTCCCTACATCAAGGTACGTAATTATAACTAAACGAGTAACCTGGAGGAACCCATTTTAAATATAACCTTTTCCTAATACACCGCCTTCAGGTTGGTGTAAAGTAGCCGAGCAATTAAGATTATTTCCCTAACATGGATGCTTATCTTCAGGTTGATGTTAAACTGTTAAAGTCCGCAGTCACAACTCTAATCTCTAGGTTGATGTTAAAGTCCGCAGTAACAACTCTAATCTACAGGTTGATGTTAAAGTCCGCAGTAACAACTCTAATCTCCAGGTTGATGTTAAAGTCCGCAGTAACAACTCTAATCTAAATATAACCTTTTCCTAATACACCGCCTTCAGGTTGGTGTAAAGTAGCCGAGCAATTAAGATTATTTCCCTAACATGGATGCTTATCTTCAGGTTGATGTTAAAGTCCGCAGTCACAACTCTAATCTCTAGGTTGATGTTAAAGTCCGCAGTAACAACTCTAATCTCCAGGTTGATGTTAAAGTCCGCAGTAACAACTCTAATCTCTAGGTTGATGTTAAAGTCCGCAGTAACAACTCTAATCTACAGGTTGATGTTAAAGTCCGTAGTAACAACTCTAATCTACAGGTTGATGTTAATTGTTAAAGTCCGTAGTAACAACTCTAATCTACAGGTTGATGTTAAAGTCCGTAGTAACAACTCTAATCTACAGGTTGATGTTAAAGTCCACAGTAACAACTCTAATCTCCAGGTTGATGTTAAAGTCCGCAGTAACAACTCTAATCTCCAGGTTGATGTTAAAGTCCGCAGTAACAACTCTAATCTACAGGTTGATGTTAAAGTCCGCAGTAACAACTCTAATCTCCAGGTTGATGTTAAAGTCCGCAGTAACAACTCTAATCTCCAGGTTGATGTTAAAGTCCGTAGTAACAGCTCTTTCCTTGGTGGTGCTAACCGGTTGGAGCTGTCTAGCAGTGTTTGACCTGTACAACACAATTCCACTACGGCAAGACTACTCCTACCTAGTGTTCTACCAATACCTCCTCTTCCTACCTGCTGTAGGACAGGGCCTCTTCGACTACCTCTTTATGTCCGGGTTAGTCATGTTGGTCACGTGAGGGTCACGTGTTAGTCATGTTGGTCACGTCATGTTGCTTAATCATCCGCGCATTTATACTCATTATATTATAGAAAACTGTATTGACAACTTGTTGATTATCAAACAACACTGGAACCAAGATTAAACAGCACAAGATTCCACACTAAACTAAGCTTCACACTAAACTAAGCTCCACAGTCCACACTAAAATAAGCTCCACACTAAACTAAGCTCCACACTAAAATAAGCTCCACACTAAACTAAGCTCCACAGTCCACACTAAAATAAGCTCCACACTAAACTAAGCTCCACACTAAAATAAGCTCCACACTAAACTAAGCTCCACACTAAACTAATCTCCACACTAAACTAATCTCCACACTAAAATAAGCTCCACACTAAACTAAGCTCCACACTAAACTAATCTCCACACTAAACTAAGCTCCACACTAAACTAAGCTCCACACTAAACTAAGCTCCACACTAAAATAAGCTCCACACTAAACTAAGCTCCACACTAAAATAAGCTCCACACTAAACTAAGCTCCACACTAAACTAAGCTCCACACTAAACTAAGCTCCACACTAAACTAATCTCCACACTAAACTAAGCTCCACACTAAACTAAGCTCCACAGTCCACACTAAACTAAGCTTCACACTAAACTAAGCTCCACAGTCCACACTAAAATAAGCTCCACACTAAACTAAGCTCCACACTAAACTAAGCTCCACACTAAACTAAGCTCCACACTAAACTAATCTCCACACTAAACTAAGGTCCCTCCCAGACTGTACATGGACCTGACTCCCTCCCACTATCTGATCACCTGGATAATGCTCCCGTTTGCTGTTCCTGTACTACTGGTCGTGGGTTGCTCTATTGTTCAGGTGCTGGAACTGTTCCGGAGACAGAGACTCAGAACCAGCCTCGCTATTAATACTAACAGGTTACTATAGCAACACTACCATATAAGGTAATGTATCAACAGCAGCCTCGCTATTAATACTAACAGGTTACTATAGCAACACTACCATATAAGGTAATGTATAAACAGCAGCCTCGCTATTAATACTAACAGGTTACTATAGCAACACTACCATATAAGGTAACGTATAAACAGCAGCCTCGCTATTAATACTAACAGGTTACTATAGCAACACTACCATATAAGGTAACGTATAAACAGCAGCCTCGCTATTAATACTAACAGGTTACTATAGCAACACTACCATATAAGGTAACGTATAAACAGCAGCCTCGCTATTAATACTAACAGGTTACTATAGCAACACTACCATATAAGGTAACGTATAAACAGCAGCCTCGCTATTAATACTAACAGGTTACTATAGCAACACTACCATATAAGGTAACGTATAAACAGCAGCCTCGCTATTAATACTAACAGGTTACTATAGCAACACTACCATATAAGGTAACGTATAAACAGCAGCCTCGCTATTAATACTAACAGGTTACTATAGCAACACTACCATATAAGGTAACGTATAAACAGCAGCCTCGCTATTAATACTAACAGGTTACTATAGCAACACTACCATATAAGGTAATGTATAAACAGCAGCCTCGCTATTAATACTAACAGGTTACTATAGCAACACTACCATATAAGGTAACGTATAAACAGCAGCCTCGCTATTAATACTAACAGGTTACTATAGCAACACTACCATATAAGGTAATGTATAAACAGCAGCCTCGCTATTAATACTAACAGGTTACTATAGCAACACTACCATATAAGGTAATGTATCAACAGCAGCCTCGCTATTAATACTAACAGGTTACTATAGCAACACTACCATATAAGGTAACGTATAAACAGCAGCCTCGCTATTAATACTAACAGGTTACTATAGCAACACTACCATATAAGGTAATGTATCAACAGCAGCCTCGCTATTAATACTAACAGGTTACTATAGCAACACTACCATATAAGGTAATGTATCAACAGCAGCCTCGCTATTAATACTAACAGGTTACTATAGCAACACTACCATATAAGGTAACGTATAAACAGCAGCCTCGCTATTAATACTAACAGGTTACTATAGCAACACTACCATATAAGGTAATGTATAAACAGCAGCCTCGCTATTAATACGAACAGGTTACTATAGCAACACTACCATATAAGGTAATGTATAAACAGCAGCCTCGCTATTATCGTATTAACACAAATAGGTTCACTTAAAGATTTAACGTCTTAAACCCTTCACTTTCTCTATTTTTTAATCAACAACAGCCAAGTTCTATGCCATAATCCCCATTAAAAAGCTTCCATTTCGTATTTTAACCCTGCCCCTCCCCAGGATAAACCTGCGAATAACAGGAACAGTTCTGCGACTAACAATTATATTCGCGGTCTTCAACACGCCCTTCTTCATCCTGTTTGCGGTGTACTACTGGCACTACGTACTGTCCGGTACCAGTATCCTAGTACCCTACATCTGTGGCACCATGTTACCCATCCTGAACTCCTGTATAAACCCCATTGTGCTGATCAGTAGGGGGCAGGGACTGAGGAAGTACACTAAGGCGGTGTGTAGGAGAGTGTCCGGGTACACGGGCCGGAATAAGGACCCGGTTATTGAGCTGACCAAGATGGCTGAGAGTTGCAGTAGGTTGCGAGGCAACTCTAGTGTTGCTATGTCTCAAAATTAGGTGATTCTAGTCTCGCTGTGTCTCAAAATTAGGTGACTCTAGTGTTGCTATGTCTCAAAATTAGGTGATTTTAGTCTTGCTTTGTCTCAACTCTCAAAATATAATACTACTTTCGCCTCGGTGGTACATCCTTCTATAATCAATTATATCCTGCTAATTTTAGCAAGTCTGTTTTAATTGTAGCTGTTAACTATTAACTAGACTCGTTAATTATTGTGTTTTTAACTTTATGTTATATTCTGTAAACCCGAGTTTTATTTCCTGATTCTCCGCGAGTAGGGGTGTGGACTCCCTGAGACTACTTCCAAATAACCACAAGAATGTTAAAATGCAAAGTTTGTCATATTATATTCGATATTGATTAATTATAATATTACAAAAGTAGAGCACAACACCTTGTCTTAGTTTTAGCAGGGAGGTGTCTAACCAATCATATCACAGCTGTTGTCACGTATCTAACACGTGACAGGTTTCATCATACCACGTGGCCTCACCTCCCTAACAGTATATTTTAGAGTAAATAAAACTAACCGATTGAGAAAGTCTTGTTAGAACCAATATGGAAGTGAGGACTCTGGGGTAGATAATACACCTGGGACATAACAACAACGTTAATATCATTATAGGACACATAACTACATAGCTATAAAAACATGTATTATTTTATCAAATAAACTGATTTGAATTTAGGTTTAAAACTTGCTGACTACATTACTACGATGACATAACTATGACATAACTATGACATAACTATAATGACATAACTATGACATAACTATGACATAACCATGACATAACTATGACATAACTATGACATAACTATGACATAACTATGACATAACTATGACATAACTATGACATAACTATGACATAACTATGACATAACTATGACATAACTATGACATAACTATGACATAACTATGACATAACTATGACATAACTATGACATAACTATGACATAACTATGACGTCACTATGATATCACGTGACCACTAACCTATCATAATACTCCATCTTGTCCACAAGTTCAGTGTGTTTAGAAACTAGAACAGTGTCATTAGACAGGTCACGTGATGAGGGGCCGCACAGTTCCGGTTCCAGATCCAGAGCTAGTCCCATTAGAAACTTGAAGAGCTGGGAAGAGGGGGCGCGGGCTATTATCATAAATGGGCATCACGTGGGGTGGCTATTACCATATATGGGCATCACGTAGGGTGGCTATTACCATATATGGGCATCACGTGGGGAATTGTTAATGGGATACTGAACTTAACATGTTGGTTACAAGTAATGATTTGCTAAAAAAAGCTGATTTGAAATCATTATAAAATATGTGATTAAATGCGAAATGTCGAAATGTGCGTAAAAAGTATTACCGTGATTATGTTCTCTTGACAAGGAGAGTTGCTATGGAAACAGGGTAACAATTCCAGAGATTTGGTAAGCGAACTGTATTCGACCTATCAAAAATGTACAAATCATGGGTTGAGTTAAATCTTCACTAAAAAATAAAATCGATTTAGAAACTTAAATACAAATATACAGAACTATAAATTATAACAGCGAGCAAATATTATGTTATATCGGGAACAGCATAACAGTTAATTCCCGGACATTTCCCGGACATTTCCCGGATAATTCCCGGATAGTTCCCCGAATAATACCTGGGTTTCAAAGTAGTGAATGTTAGAAGGACTATTGTGCAGGGCTGACTGTAAGAGTTTTATAACCTTTCCTACTATAGGCATGTAGTTCTCATCTGGGGATAGTGTGGTTAGACGAGGGAATAGTGTGGTGGTTAAATTATAAAATGTTAATTATGTTGATAAATTAAGAAATAAAATAATACATTTTTCTCAAACTTTCAACTTTTAACGCACCAAAAATCAAGTCATCATTCTAGAGAGTTTCAGATAACAAAATTCGCACAGATGTTAAAATTAGATATAACCCTATCTAGCTCACCTGCAATCTGTCCAGCACTAATGATGAGGTTAGAGATAACCAGAAACCCATCAGGAGCCTGGTAATAATATCAGAATATTACCATATATGGGCATGTAAAGTGATAAGACATTACCATATATGGGCATGTAAAGTGATCAGAATACTACCATATATATATGGGCACAGGGCATGTGAGGAGATCTAGCTGATAAAGTAGCTCAAGTATCGGATTTAACTAACTGACTATGGGGATAATTAACAATACTATATATTAATGCTTTTCATTCATACAAGTGAAAACAAATTCTTCTTGTAGTGCATCCTGGGTTTGGACAGGATATGCCCGTTTTATATATTTTATGGACATCAATGTGATCAGAATATTACCATATATGGGCAAATGAAGTGATCAGAATATTACCATATATGGGCACCAATGTGATGGAGTGTACCTGGAATCTGTGCTGGGAGGGAGGGAAGGAGAGGAACAATTCAGATAAACAGTCCAGGATGTCGAGTTTTAGTTCTGAGTTATCAAGGTTCTCGTGCATCATACGGAGTAGTGCTCTCACATCGTCCTGATCCTCTGATGCTACCTGGGATATTACCATATATAGTCATCACGTGGGTGGATATTACCATATATAGTCATCACGTGGGGATTGGGAAATAAGACTAGAATCTGCTGGAAAACAGCAGAATATCAGAAATACACGCAAGGGGTCTCCTCACTACATGAATCAAAGTAAAATAAAGTATGTACTTACGTAGGTAGAGAGAGTTTTAATAACTAGCAGAACGTATGCTCTAAACGCAGGAACGTGTAGCATGTCGTACAGGAAGTCGCGACCTTGTAGTTCCAAATAACTGAAATGTATAGGGTTTTAGACTTCCTTTAGAGCTAGCGTTATCGGTTCTTTGAAGATGAAAAGTCTCTTTTAATGACAATTATTTTTCTCGCATGCCGAAAATTAATGATTGTATTCAAATGTTATCTCAAGTGTATTGAAATAATCATAGTTGTTTATAGTAAAATATGACCAGTACGAAACTGACAGAACCAACTTATCACTTTTATACTACCAAATATGGTCAACAGGTGTTATCTTACTTCTGATAAGCTTCCGGGCAGTTGTCTAGTAAGGTATTCAATGTGGTCATCAGCATTATAAGGTAATTATCATCTAACTTCTCGTCGTCTGTAGAATCAAAATATAAAGCACTGACGCTATAATTTCAGTCTTGAAACTTAACTTGTCTACTTTTAAGTCAATACATTTCTCAATGAACGTCCAACTCTTTAAGATTTAAAACCCACTTAGCTTCTTAAAGTATGTCGGTTATTAAGTTTTATTACAAGAGGTAAATGTAACTAAAATAGTGCGGTGAAATACAGTAGACCGTACTAAATGTAATTAGTACCTTGTTGAAGTTGTAAGAGTTGTATTTGGCAGAACTGTAAGCTGTTCAACAGCCCCAACTCTAACATAACTTTCTTCAGACTCGGATCAGCTGTTATCTGAGGATATTACCATATATATAGGCATCAGGTGGGGTGGATACTGGATATTACCTTATATGGGCATCAGGTGGGTTGGATACTGGATATTACCTTATATGGGCATCAGGTGGAGAAATGTTAACATCGCTATTGTGTGTAATAGGGGACCGGCGGTTTTAATCTAAACTACTAAATTAGCATGTGAAACAGGGACAAATAGATAAACGAGAAGTCAAATCTAATATCACATGCCGAACCAATCACGTGACGTAATGGGGATAATACCATATATGGGCATCACGTGACATACCAGCTTATTGATAGTAGCCAGGATGAGTGAAGCCAGGTTAAAGTCAGGTGAGTCCTTTAGGAGGATTAATAGTGCCTCCAACTCTGCTGATGGGATGTATCTCAGGACAAACACGATGTGTTCGACTAGCTTTAATATCCGTTCCTGAACAAAAAACATGTAAGATATCGACATTCTGGAGAAAGAAATTGTGTTAGAACTGTCTTAAGAGTCACATGAAAACATGTTAGCACGTCTAGTTGTTCCGTTGTCATCCAACTTTTGATTTTTAGAGAGTCCTTTAACTTTAACTCACAAGTAAGATGATTCTTACAAAAAGATATGTTAACATTACAGGGTTAACCGGATAGGAGATTTAGCCATAAATGTTTACACTGTGTTTAGTGTTACCACGTGTTACCACGTGTTTACCACGTGTTTACCACGTGTTATCACGTGTTACTACGTGTTTACCACGTGTTACCACGTGTTTACCACGTGTTACCACGTGTTACTACGTGTTTACCACGTGTTTACCACGTGTTAGCACGTGTTTACTATGTGTTTACCACTTGTTTACCACGTGTTACCACGTGTTTACCACGTGTTTACCACGTGTTTACCACGTGTTTACCACGTGTTTACCACGTGTGTACCACGTGTTTACCACGTGTTAGCACGTGTTTACCACGTGTTTACCACGTGTTGCCACGTGTTACCACGTGTAACCACATGTTAGTACCTGGATAAGTGTGGTAGAAGTTGTGAGTCGCTCAGCTATAAAACAGTTCAGAGTGTTGTGTTGACTCAGAACAAAGTAATTCACTTCGTCCAACCTGACGCGAGGAAACATTTAGAGCGGACATAACCAATTAATTAATTAATTAAATCTTATTATTATCAATGTAATATTTCAGACCATAAAACATTCCCACAATCATGACATACCTTCGGAATAACACATATTTCACCAATAATACAGAATGTTATCATCACACATAGTTAATAAGGAACATACTTGAACACGACATTAATAACATCCATCATCAGCAAGGCTATCTGTTCAGTAGTGCTCTTTAAGAAAACATCCTGCAAAACAACAAACGCTGCTGGGTTCTTCACACTCGCTCCTGAAGTACAACACTGTCTCAGAGTTTGAGGGGAGTGCAGTTTTATTCTAGAGTATGTCAGTGCTTACTAGAGAACTATTACATATATTACAACTATTACATATATTACATGTATAATATGTTTTAGAGTTTCTGAGTGAAGGAGTCTTTCAGTCCCGCTATTATGAGCAATATGGGATCCCACGTTTTCTAACTTTCTTGTTGTCATGAAGCTTCCGATTTCAATGCAGTTTATATATACTCTAATAAGTGGAAAAGATGCACAATTGTATATCAAATTATATATCCTGCTTTACAAGACCTAATCTGGCGAAATAAGCCTAAATATTACCTTTTCCAGTAGGAACTGGAATACAGAAGTCTTTGCTTTGGAACTGCATACTTTTAGCGTGTATCTCTGGGACGACCTGAACATTTTATAATATTATTTGATGTGTAAATTTGATTCTAATTCTAATATCATATTATCACAGACCACTTCTAGTCAGCACTAATCGTGTACTTGCACTATTAGTGATATAAACTCAAAGCTTTGAACTGTCAATGATATATATTATGGGCATCACTTGAGGGTAGTTTCAGTTACTCTGTTCTAAAGTCTTTAAATCAGTTGTTAACAGACTATAAATCCATAATACAACTATAAACTACAAATATAACACATCTCCTCCTCCTTTATTGTAAGAACGTTAAATTACCAGCTATCACAAATAAATAAGATAACATTGTGTTAACTATACCTGATCAGCACCAGCAGTACACAAGGTTGGAACAGAATACGCAAGTTTGTTGAGACATTCGTTCTTCATACGACACAATTCGTCACTTTCTACCTCTTGCTTCTCCAGCTGACAAGTTTGTAGTCAGTATTGTAAGTATAAGTTAGTGTATAACTGGAGGGACTATAACATACACTACTGTTTGTGAGGCGATACACATTGAAAGCCCCTCGTAAGGGGATTGTCTCTAATGGACTAGTTTAGCCAATGTAATAAACCAATTCACTGACTGCAGATATTAAAATACATCGGCATCATTTGATCATGTAACAACTTTTGTGCCAGTAAAAATGATTGCTTCCCGGCTGTATCTACTATTTATGCCTGATTTCTTACATTGAAGTTGTTCATTTGTGCGCAAAGTACGTGAAACACACCATATTATGTTAAAACCTCGTTCAGCCCATGTGTGCTCATGAGAAGTTGAGTATGAATATTAAGTTACACTTTTAAAATAAGGCACGGTAACATGCATGGTGTACTTATCGCACCGAATGATGTCAGTTTTGCTAAATTTGTACAGTTTTATGACTTATGACTCAACATTCTTTAATTTCAGAGTAAAGTTTTTGTCGTTATCTCACGTTTGGTTGAATTGTAAGTGGTTCAAAAACGTTCAGAACGATGACTGTCATCTTCGGTATGCGAGTGATTTGTTTCTAACCTCGAATAAAAAGGAATTTGAATTGGACGCGCGCGCGGGTCTGTGTAAATAGAAAATGCTTCATTTTCACATTTTATCACAAAAAAGCCACCGCGCGTCACGCAAACAAACGCACACACGTGAAATATGCACCGAAACAAATTGCCAAGCTTCCGGCGTCACCAAATATCTGTTGACTTACTAATATGATTACACGACAGCACCACTAGGTGCAGCGCCACCTGGAAATCACGGTAACTCGAGCTTACATTTAATATGGCGTCAGTGAGGAGCTCGTAGCCCTCCGCTTCCTTGAAATCGGTCAGCAAGGTGTCCGCTATCTCGCAACTATCTTTCAGGCATCCAAATAGGGGGAGCATAGGTGTCCGCTATATCTGGACAACACAAGATATTATAAGGTAAGACCAGGTAACAGATGGTAACCTAAGGTAACACAACTCACAAGATATATCAGATAACAGGGGGGGTTTAGATAGAAAATAGCACGTTATCAATATCTAATATTACGAGTTTTAAGCTAAAGCCTAAATGCATTTACCATTTAAACGATTTCTAAGCTTAAGTTTTTACAATGATCTAGTTAAAAATCAGTACTTACAGATGACGTAGGTATCAGCAAAGGCGCGCAGATTCTTCACACAGCTAGCTATGCATTTGTTCAAGTGGAGATACTCAATTAGACCTGAAATTTAAGTAGTGTTCAAATATTAAAGAAGAGGTTTTCAAATTTGTTTGATAATAAGTAAAAGTAGGACTCTATAATTGAATGTTATAATAAGTTTTGTAACTAATTGTGCTTTTGCCCTTTTGGTTGGTGATCCACAAACAACAGATAAATAACAGAATCCTACGATACTCTACTGAATGGTATAAAAGTGCAGTATCTAATTATACCTGACAGACAGAGGATACATATTCTGAAGATTGTAGTACAAAATATTGCATTCCTCTGACTAATTTAAAACTGCATATTCAGATGAGGAATCCAACTATTGGTATACAAATGAATCGTCTGTCTGACTTACCGATTGTTTATCAAATATTTTTAGAAAACTTCCTAACACGGGAAAGGTTCTTTATATAATGTACAGGGAGGGCTAAAAGTCAGTACCCATACGTTGGGTCTTATACCTAATCCGTGTTTTATTTTTGAGAGTTGTTGCTTTGCAGATGGCATACTGTACCTACTTGTTCGAGGATTCCGTCGCCAAAATTTGAAAATTCGAATATTTTAGACCAATATTTAATCTAATACAGATATTAATATTTTGGGATAGGATATAGATATTCTGGGAAAGAGGTTTCTGGGGCAGAGGTTTCTGGGGCTAGATTTCTGGAGCGGATGTTTCTGGGGCAGGGTTTTTGCAGGGGGTTATTGTACAGGGGTTTTTGGGGCCGGGGTTATTGTACAGGGGTTTTTGGGGCCGGGGGTTATGGGCTGGGGGTTCTTGTACAAGGGTTTTTGGATCTGGAGGTTCTTGTACAAGGGTTTTTGGGTCTGGGGGTTCTTGTACAGGGGTTTTTGGGGCTGAGGTTTCTTGTACAGGGGTTTTTGGGCCAAGGATACCAGGGGTAGGGTTTCTGGGGAATTACACTGTGTCCAGTAACTAATATCACAATACTCTTCAGTGCATGTAATATGAGCCCCTTATCTCACATTATTGTTTATATCACCGTATTTAACTGCACGTGGTCGGATTATTACACAATCACTGAAACATGTTAAAAATACAATGATATGTACTGTACATTGTACCAAATATCATAAGATAGAAGGATTTAGTCATTTATTTACTTACTTGCAAGTATAACACTGCAAGATGATGTAATTGCTTTGACTGTACAATTTGAAGTAACGTAGACTTGGTTTTAGAATTTAGAGTTATTTAATACAATGACTATGTTTGTATGTATTCGAACTTTTTATTTAGAATTAAAACAAGTTCTTCCTATTATAGAGCCACGGAGTGGACACCTAGTTTAATATGTTTGTATGTTTGTATGTTTGTATGTTTGTATGTTTGTATGTTTGTATGTTTGTATGTTTGTATGTTTGTATGTTTGTATGTTTGTATGTTTGTATGTTTGTATGTTTGTGTGTTTGTATGTTTGTACGTTTGTATGTTTGTATGTTTGTATGTTTGTATGTTTGTATGTTTGTATGTTTGTATGTTTGTATGTTTGTATGTTTGTATGTTTGTATGTTTGTATGTTTGTATGTTTGTAGGTTTGTATGTTTGTATGTTTGTATGTTTGTATACTGATTCGTGCGACATCTGTCCGACAGCGACATCTGTCCGACAGCCGAATTGGGGATTTCGGACAGATGTCGCTGTCCGAATTTCGGATCATATTGTAATTTCGGTTCACATTCGTATTTCACAAGCTCACGGGTAATCTCGTGACGTTGCTCCCATTGTTCGAATGCTGATGTGATCCATTGAGATCTGATCCATCGATACGTGATTGACTATTTGAGGACAGTATTGTGCTATAGCCGTACGCTGTCGATCACATCACAGGACACAGCCTACATGAGTACATATAGGACAGCGGCCGTATGGAGATCAGATATCGCATTCCACAAAATCAACCAATCTTCAGTAAACAGACCCAGATCTGCAGCAAACAGACTCGAGAGATTTGGAAACGCTATCCATTCCTGCAAACTACATCCTCTCTACCGACAACAGTCCAATAATGCTATGGGACGATCAACAGACTCGTCGATCTTTCCTTTGGGGGACTCCTAAGAACGTAGATCATATGGTGGACGCGGAGCATTGGGTAGTCGAAGGTACCTTCAAATCCGCACCTAATCTCTTCCATCAGCTCTTCACAGTCCACGGACTCTTCCCTGATGGCTGGCACCTCCCCCTCTTCTATGGACTCATTCCTGGAAAATCGACGACCCTCTACCGCAACATGTTCGAGGAGATAGACACCTGGGCTTCTTGGGCCTTGGGGCTACCAACCACAATCCATCCTCATGGACTACGAGCTCGCCATTCACAACGCAGTTGCTTCATGCCTGCCTGCCTAGGTCGAAAATAAACTAGGTAGTCAACTATGGCTCAGATCATATCTCAAATTGGCAATGTTACGTATACAAATTTGCAAACTTAACAGTTCAGATCATGTCTCAAATTGGAAATGTGTCGTATTGAAATCAGATCACAATTTCGGACAGATGTCGTTTTTTTCTGGTACCCTTAGTCGGACAGATGTCGCTGTCGGACAGATGTCGCTGTCGGACAGGAGTCGTGTTACCGTGCCTCCTAACACATAGTCATAAAAGTTGCTCCAAAAGACTGGTGGCTGTCCATCGTAAGACAATCCTGCCAGTCAAAGTAAGGAAAATGTGTAATAACAAACAAACACAACAGTTATTAATTTACTAATTTACTAATTTACTAATTTACTAATTTACTAATTTACTAATTTACTAATTTACTAATTTACTAATTTACTAATTTACTAATTTACTAATTTACTAATTTACTAATTTACTAATTTACTAATTTACTAATTTACTAATTTACTAATTTACTAATTTACTAATTTGCTAATAAGATAATTTACTAATTAAATTAACCAAACCAACCTTGATTAAGACTCTTTCTACAGATGGTAGAGAGGAACTCCACCGTGCAGCGTTGCCAGGGCGCGTTATGAGGCCCCCACCATGACGTGCAGATATCAAACAGCACGAGTAGGTCACTGTCTGTTGCGCGCAATTCTTCCACCACACACACATGCTCTCCTATCCTGCGCGCAGATAGTTAGTACTGTTATGATAGCAATAAAACGAGTAAATAAACACATAAAAACTCTAGTGAATAAACACATAAAACTAGTGAATAAACACATAAAACTAGCGAATAAACACATACAACTAGTAAATAAACACATAAAACTAGTAAATAAACACATAAAACTAATGAATAAACACTGTCATGTGTACCAATTTACAGCATCAAATAACTGTTACTCAAGAGTCAAGATGATATCGTCAGTAAGTTCGTAATATATAATCCAAATAAAATCTGAATTAAAATGACCAGATTTCAAACAAATTAGTCGAACAAGTAAGTACAGACTTACCTTACAAAAAGTAAACTTACCTTATACAAAAAGTAAACTTACCTAATAAGAACAGACATGAGCATTTTCGAGATCATCTCGACATTCTGAGAATCATGAGATAAGTCGGGCAGGTCCATGAAGAGGTAAAGCATTTTCACTAAAGTTGAGGGGAGGTGTTCTCCACACATCTCTTTAACTGCAGTCAAGCTGAAGACAATTTCGGGCTAACTTATGTATTTTCTAATTTTCGATTAAAACAAGCTGCATAAAGTGATATTTTCTGGATTTCAACAAGTTTTGTTTATTCTATTAAGTAATAAGTATACATGTATTAGGTTCGATCTGTATCTTCTTTTTTTTAATTCACGACAACATAACTGTAAATTGTCGATTCTGGAATTATTTTGTCAAGTATTGAGTACCTGTAGTAACTGTAGTAAACTGATACATTATTTTAATCAGTAACAAAATTATAGTACATAGTTTTGAAAATAGTTGTATAATGAAACGTAAACAAACCTTAGTGCAGCAATATTAACGGTACAGAGTGCATTCCACTGTGATGTCTTGAGCAGCTCAAACAGAGCCAAACTCCCATCTTGTAATGACTTACTACTAGCAGTTCTCCTGTCATATACAGCTTGTTAAGTAACAAAATGAAAACAGTTCACCTCTCCACACAGGTTCACAGCTACAATGTTAAGTTGGATAGTCTAAGTTGGAATCCTTTATTGGTGCCGAGGGCCTGACACAAAAGTGATGGTGATGGTAATGAAGTTTTTGTGATGACTGAAACACACAGCAGGCGCAATTCAAGTGCAATGAGCATATACTAAAAAGATAGATTCAGACAAATCTGCCTAAAGGCTAGGCATCAAAATATGTTGTCAACCCAGACCTATAACAATACAGACAATATCCCAGTAAATAGCATAGAGATTATTTTAAGATCGTACAAAAACATTAACAGATACAGGAAGAAATGAACTGTAGGAACAATACTTACGTTATTTTCAAAACCAATTCGGCAGCAACACATTTTGTGAATTCAGTTATTTCAGGAAACTTGTCATTGATCTCTGGAGCACGGGCAGACTTGAATGCCTGAAGGACAAAATAAATAATAAACATCAAACTGATAATTGCTGCAAAACTGTCACAAGGCATTATCTTGTGGCCATTATCATTCACATTTTCTACCAGCGGAATTCCGCTTCAAGATTAGAGGTCAACCCCTACAAATAACATCCATGGATGAAATGGTGCCCGAAAAATTTGGTAACTCAAACGGCCACTGACAATTTCAACCTCATATTACAATATAATAAATAAGATCTGTACGTATGTTTCTAATTAGCATTTGAAGTATTTGTTCCATACTTTACAAAATGATGGCAAGACAGGTTCTAGTTGGTGACGTCCGTTTTTGTAGTGTTCAAATACCCTGAAAATATTTTTAATTATTAGCTGCTTGAAAATGTTGATTGGAAACTCAAGAGTCTGACAAAAATCAATTATAATTAAATGCTGCATTTTATAAATACCTCTTCAAGTGTGATACAGCAAGCTCTTCCTCTGTACTTGACTGACTTTCATTGGCATTTGGTTTTGATGCGGTAAAAAAGCTCTTTACAATATTGTGCATACCATCCTTTATACCATGCACCTGTCAGTAAAAAACAATGAACACAATCATTAAGTTCAATACATTTCCAAAAAATCACACCATTGCATCATAAAAATTATACGAAAATTTAGTTAAAGCATCAAATGACTGTCAGTCAGACATTTGATTTGATTTACACAGTACCATGGTCAAATGTTTTGTGCTTCGATGACAGTCTGATTTACTGTAGCCATTAATTTCCAAAGGAATTAACAGTTTGCAGAATGTGAAGCAAAAAGCCCTGATTTACCTAAACCCCGATTTACCCAGCTGTTTCTTTTATCCCAAACGTGTATTAAGTCATGGTTTTTGAAACATGAACATGACAAATCTCCTAAACTTTTTAAGTTTCTAAACTAACAAGAATCAGTGCGGACTGTGATATCGAGAAGGGAAGAAAAAGTGATACTGACGACTCAGCCAGAGAGATTGACGATGATGCAGCGACTTAGAACCAACTGACCAACTCCTATGCAATATTTTCTTAACAACGTGATAAGGAACAAGGTAACCAGATATTTAAAGGAAAAGCTGGAGCCACAGAGACGTAATCCCCTGGAGTTCTGGCAGAAATCACACTCTGTACCCCATCTGAACCAGCTTGTCTGGATCTACCTACATGTCCACCTCCTTTCTCAGTTGCAAGTGAAAGGGCTTTCCCCAGTGGCGTAAATTTAAAAAGTGGCTAGGAATCCAGTCTGAAAAAATAAATAGTATATATTTTTAAAACAGCTATACATTTTTCGGCCGCTTCCTGTAGATTCCTGAGAATTTCCAGGAATATTTGTCGCACGTTTTTTTGCGGGTTTTTTGTCCCAGTAATCAACAAGAATCTAGCTAGATCTCACATGTGTAATGCACTCGATGTGAACGTCTTCAGAAATGAGAAACCCCTGAGAGCGACTGATTTTAATTTAATTTAAATATATTTGTTGACAAAAATCAGTCGTTGGCTGTGGAAATATCATGGCTAGGAATTAGATTCTTAACTTCCTTACTTCCTCACATGAAACTGGCTTTCAAGGTGGCGTGTAAACATTGTAGGGGATATCAGACTGAGCCTCCTGCCGGAAAACTTAAAAATCAACTTGATTATCAATTACTGAAGAGTCAAGAGCAAAAAACTACGAAATATGTCGGCTCAAGTTCCCTCCTGAATGGCTATTGGTTATATTACCTTGCCCCGAACAATCTGAACAAAGACGACTCGGACAACGAAAGTATGGTTACGGAGTCTAATAAAGAGGCAGTTGGATTTACTGACGAATCAGATGATAAGGACATTGCATAAGGTAGCATGCGTTAATTTACTGACTCTGCCACTACAATTACTTTGGTATCCTTCACTGATAACAAGCACAGCTCACCACAAACACTTAACTCTGACACTAAAACCTGGTATCCGGTAAGTTGCAGATTACAAGCACATATTATTATTAAATCTAAAATAGCTAATCAGCAATAGCAGCAAATCTGGGGAAACTTGGTGGACATTGACTTTTTTTCACACAATTTGAGTATGTTGACTTCAACATTATGTTGCAGCTCATTGTGGTTAATCTCAATGTTGGAGTGATGTTTTTCTGGTGCACAAAACACTGCAGTACGGTTATGTTGAATAATTGTGGTTAATGGGTCATCTATGTGGCCACTATGGTGGTTAAAATACCAGTTTTAGGGTTAACCACCATTTTGAGATGTGATATTATGAACTGAGTAGTCATTATATTGAGATCATATCATGGTGCAACTATCACAAAAGTTTTCAAACCTCATGGGGGGCATTTTGTGGTCCTAATGGTAGTTAAATTGAAGATGAACGGTGAGCTATAAATATTGCTCTGATTATAGATGTATAGTGGTGGTTGTTCATTTGTGCATGGATGATAATTTTTTATCTGAACAAATGTGCAATTTATTAGTATGGTTGATTTGAGGTGGTTAATATTCGTAAAAAGTGCTAAAAAGATGGTTAAAATGTCAAAATTTGTTGTTAACCACCAATCAAAACATTATTAATGGTTTTAGTCAACATTTTATGGTCAACAAAGGACATTTGAAGGGTCTTGATAAAATTTATCAAGAAATGTTGTCATAAAAGTGGTTAAAAGGGCTATATTACTTGCTAGGTTGTTGAACAAGGCATCTATTAAAGTGAAAATTAACCACAATATGAACTTCAGATAATGGTTTGCTATCCAAATGAGTGTATATTTGTTTGCAAATGCATAATTGACCCCAAGTTCATGCATTCCGATCAATGTGCAGCTAAGGTGGTTAAAATGTCTCGAAAATACCCTATATTTGCACTAATTAACCATTTTTAGAGCACATATAAGCTTTTTAAAGCTATAAAGCAATAAAAGGCATTAGTTTGGTCAAATCAAACGGAACATATGCTATCAGACTTTCAACTGACTAAGGCAGGGTTAAAACAGTTTTGACGCTAGCTGGCCATGCTACATTATCTAGATATAACTACCTGCTCATTTATATGACCAGAAACATTACTGAGTCCTATGTTGCGTCCATCATGGTTAATAAAGTTCTAAAATTGACCAAAATCAGTGTTTTTGGTCGTTTTATCCGCCATACGGCCACACATTTTGTTGCATTATCTTTAAAATCACTTATTATCCTTCAGCTATCTCTCATAATCAAATATCAAAACAAAATAAGGCACCAAAAGGTCAGATTGTGCTGAATGATGGTTAATTTGTGATGGCTTCTGTTGACCGAAGGTCCAAAATCAACATGTTTTAACCACATTATGGCCACATCTAAGGTTTTATGGTATTGGGACCATATCCAAAAGTTTTGGGCACCTGGATGGTGTACTCTGCTTTTGGAATTATGGTGATATCTCAATGCTGTGCCATTCCAGGTGGTTAAGTACGCGCGCGCGCGCACGCGTACACTTTTGGGGTTTTTTTGATATACCACAGTTGGTGGTTAACCGTTTTACATTACACCTTCACTAAAAGTATTGGGCACTCTAGTGGTGACATAATATATAAAGAAATTAAGCATAAACTAAATATGTTGGCCTACAGATGGTTAAGTACGCGCGCGCGCACGCGTACACTGTAACATAAACACATATAAACCACTCCACAGACCACATTTATTAACCTTTTGAATTTCTTTCTTCAACTATGTGTCAATGAACCGTTTCTGTTCAATAATGACCATCAATGTTAACTGTAACACTCATATCTTCAGTTGTAGTAAGGGTTTAAGAGTTAGAAGTACAAAAAAAACGTCCACTACCAAATCAGTCATATTTTGACTACTTAACCACCTAACTCAGCACAAAAATGTTCTGGGATTTATTTCGTTGCACTATCATGAAGCTATGACATTTTTGGACCTATGCAAATATTCAGATTACTAGAATTCATAATTTGTGATTTTTAAGGGGTGGTCAAATGCTTCAAAGTGGTGTATTTCAAAGTTTCCCCAGATTTGCTGCTATTGCTGTAATAATTTAATAAATTATTATCAGGCCCCTTAACGTGGGCAATAATATAGTGAAACAAATTTTAGTGCACAAGCACAGCTCAACCAATCAACTTGGGCCATTGTTAGCCCCAAGCGTTTTGGTCCCTCATTCCTGCCACTCAGCATTGCCTACTGTAAAGTAGAAATTTTTCTAAGACAATAGAGAAACTGACCTTGTCTCACTATTTTCCCCTAAATTCAACCACTTACCATAATAAAAATACTAACAACCAAATAAAGTTTTTTAAATAATTATTTCCTCAAGTTTACTTCTAGCTAACTAATTTTTTAAATAAATTGTTTCAAACAGTGTACACATAATGTCACAATGACCCTATATAAAAAAACCCTTCAAAAATTCAATATTTTGAAAATCACCCTTGGCCTTGCGGCTCCAAGTTCAAATCTAAACTGTCTATATTGACAAAGTTCTTTCTCGCCCCTCTGTCTCCCCGGAGAGAAATTACCGTCGTTCTTAAGATTTCGAAACGAAGGCGCTTCCTAATGTATCCCACCGCATCTGAGTACCTCTGCCCTGTGTGGTATTCCATCTTACTAGCCAGCTTCTTTACTAGTCTTTCAGCTTCACCACCCATTCCACCAGACGTTGAGAAAACTAACGGCGTGAAGCTTCCTTTCTCTACTTCCAGGACCCTTGCATTGTAACACCGTATTTTCTCATTTTCATGGGACTGGTACATTGCTGGGATCGATTTGCTTGCTGGGATCGATTTACTGTTGCTCAGTAAATCATGTTTAAATCATTATTCATATAGATTTGGCCAGGTCTTAATTAACTGTATGATTTAGCAATTTAAATTATATTTATTTATTGAATTATTGAATTATGTTGCAATGATAAAAATATATAATCGATTAATTTTTAAAAGTTGAAGCGAAAATTACGTTTTGGGGATAAACGCAAGCTTTGAAACGTAATGTTATGTACTAAGTCAAAAGTCTTCAATGAAACAATAAAAAATGAGCCAGTACGCACAAAATAATGCGCGCGCGCATGCTTAGCTCTAAGCTCACTACAATTACGAAATTATAATTAATTACAATTACCAATGCTAATACTACAATTGTAATATTAACATTGATATTGTTATTTAAGTCAAATCAAATATTACCTGGGCCGGGACCCCAGGCTCAGTTTTTATGTTCACAAACTAAATAGAAATTCGTCAGATCAATAACTGATAACAAGCTGAGCGCCGCACAATAAACCCAGCAGACCTTACCGGCTAGCGATATTACTACAGGGTGATCCCCTTTTCACAGCTTGTTGAGATCCGCGCGCGCTCGTGAGTTCGTTGCATTTGCACGCTTCAAACATTCCAAAGATGCAATTGTACCGCGTACCACGTGATACGATTCAGCCAATCAGAGAACAACAATCTGCAAAGTTAAAGCTGCGCAGTTTTATATGACCTAAAATATGACTTTTTGCAATAATTCAAAATCTACGTTGTTTTTAATTTCCCCCCTGGGGGGAAACGTTATTTTTACAAGGCGAACATTTTATTGAAAACCAGACGTTTCTATTTCTTTTACTTTCAAAGTTAGGCTCCAGCCAGTAAGGTTTCCTGGGAATCAAATATTCATATTAAATTTCTGCATCTGTTTAATTCCTGATCCTATTTAATTTCTGTGATCATTGACGGATGTTGCTCGTCTAAATTACTTCGAAGCTTAGCGCGTGGCCGCTTACTTCTCATGTAATGGCAAGTGCTACGAAGTAGCGCGCGCCGGGCCAAACCATTAACAATGGTCATGCGTTCAGCCTGTCATTTGCATTCCGCCGAATCTCTACTTGCATAGATTCACGATGTTTAACGGGTGATACTCGTAAAATATCTGTTCCATATATTGGACCGTCGACGAGTCCAACTCGGCGCGCGTCCTGGTAGGTTGTAAACCTACAACACGATGTCAATCCTTCGCATTTCGCCGATCTGCATACGTGGTTGCGAGAAAATACGCGGCTCGACCCAGTAGTGCACATCGCGCTACAAGTACAATACTTGCACTTTATTCATTTGTGAATATAATACATGGCTTTTATTAATTTGCTCGCCCAAAAATTTCACGTGACTTAGGTTTTTATGGTTTTGCAGCCTTACATTACAAATGACAAAACGGGTTTACATAAACCCTATATTAATCCCAAGTACCCTAACCCTAGCCATGATAACCCCGAAGCTAACCATAACTCTTACAACAAGTAACATGACCCTAGCTATTCCCTAATCCTAGGCCTAATTAACCCGAGCCCTAAACAATCGAATCCATGTTTGCATGTTTATGTTTTACTGCACTAGCCTGGGCCTGTCACGTGACCAAAACGGTTTTTGCCCATAACTCTCCAGGGAAGCATTTTTACCTTACGTCATGGGGGGTGATTCGGAATCAGCGTTCAAAAATACACCGAATTAGATCAATTTCATACCCAAAGGGCCTTTTCACAACAATTTTCTTGAAAATTTGGGCGAGCGATTTATAGTAGGAGCGATAATACATAGCCTGGGGTACGTCTGATCCCCAGCTAGATAAGGCCAAGGGTTAGGTATAGGGTTGCAAGATTTATTTACCTGGGGACCTCAGGCTATTACATTTATGTTTATAATCATGTCATAAAGAATAGAGATTAGGCGGAATTACAGGCTGAGCGCAGCCCATTCTGCATGCAGTAAAGATTTATGTAAAACCGTTTTGTTCATCTGTTGTAGGTTTACAACCTACCAGGACGCGCGCCGAGTTGGACTCATATATATATGGAACAGATATTTTACGAGTATCACCCGTTAAGTTCATCTGCAAAACCATAAAAACTAAAGTCAAGTATTAATTTTGGGCTAGCAAATTTTTAGTATGAAACAGAAAAGCCAGCGCCGAGACATTTAGCGTGAAATGTCGCAAACCGACATTCACCGCTATCTACTATCTAGCACTAGACACTAGACAGCGGAGAATGTCGGTTTTCGACAGTTCACGCTATCTAGCGCTTTTTAACGCTATCTAGCGCTAGATAGTGTGATTTGTCGCAAACCGACATTCGCCGCTAGATAACGCTAGATAGCGGAGAATTTCGTTTTAGCGCTATCTAGCACTAAATAGCGTGAACTGTCGCAAACCGACATTCTCCGCTAGATAGCGCTATTTAGCGTTATCTAGCGTTATCGAGCGCTATCTAGCGCTAGATGTCGCCGTGTCAGATGTCGTCACGACACATAGCGCTAGATGGCGATAGATGTCGCCCACAAAAAGGCCACAAATTCTATGCAAATAGCGCTAGCTGTCGCCTGGCCTGGCTAGCCTGGCCTTTTTGTGGGCGACATCTATCGCCATCTAGCGCTATGTGTCGTGACGACATCTGACAGTGTCGCGTAACTAGCGTCATCTAGCGCTAGATGGCGACATTGGAAAGGTGCCATTCAATTGGCGGCATTGTCGCTAATTAGCACTATATAGCGCCATTTAGCGTCATCTGACGCTAGATGTCGAATTTCAACTATCGGTTTAAAGGTCCGAAAACGTTTCAGAATGGGTTAACAAAGGAATTAGCTAGCAAAGTAGATCCGGCTAGATGTTTTGAGAGGTCCTTTATATATACTTATTACTAAATATGACTAGGGAAATTAATGCAGCAAAGAAAATAAACTCATTATTAAATTGATATTCAAACAATTAGTAAAAACGTCATAAAGTTATAAAATTATTCAAACTCTTAATGTTAATGTTTTTTTTGCTTGTCTCTTTGTCATCAATAACGCATTCTTCCATTGTCATGATTATATGAGATTTCTTCATTGAAAACTTATTGTTTCATTGCTGAAAAAGTTTGTCCACGAGGCACAAATATGTCAACATGAATGAGATACTCGGCTGACAAATCTCTCTGACCAAACTGTAATTTTTCAACAAAACTTCAATTAATACACTCGTTAAAAATAAGAACTTGCAGGAATTCCTACACAATGCAATCAATCCAATTGTCTGGCAATATACATGTTTATTGTTTGATCGTGTTCACATAACGCATTATTACTGATCAGGGTCTTTTTGTTTCACTGCTTTGATTTCCTTTCAAATTCTATCAAAATCCTGATGGGAAAAGTGTTTAGTTTGTAACGAAACACAATTTCACTATGTATCCATTAATACTTAATTCATGCTACATTTTTGTTGTGGGTAGCATGATTCGTTTACCAATTCATATTCATTAATCAATTGAACTTGCAGTGTCTGGAAATTTGGCTTCATTTTTTCTCGATCTAAGACAATCCACAAAGCTAAAACAAACGAGTTTCTCACCGGGTTGAAGTAAATGTGGTCGTCATCCACGTATTCTGTACTACAAGACACCTCGAGACCCTCTTCCAACTTCTTATCCAGCTCCTCATCCCTCTCAACCCAGCTGTTACTTGTAGTAGTGTTACTGGTAGGGTTGTTTGTGGTTCCAGCGTAGCTGTAAACCCCCACACTACCTCGGACCTCTGCGTAGTGTTCTTCTTGTTCTGCGTAGTGGTGTTCTTCTTCTGGTACTGGATCTTCTGCTGCCTGGTTTGTAGGTTTGATCTCTGCGTAGTGGTGTTCTTTTTCTGCTATTGGATCTTTTGCTACCTGGTTTTTAGGTTTGATCTCTGCGTAGTGATGTTCTTCTTCTGATACTGGATCCTTTGCTACCTGGTTTTACATCAAACATAATAGACTGTAGTTAAATTTGAAGAACCCTTTAAAACATTAAATTTCATTAAATTATTTTTTCTTCGTTTATCTCATACTACAATGTCAGCACACTGAAGTTTAAGCAAATCATAGCCACTTTAAGTGAGAGTGTTAAGAAGCTTTTTGTAAGGAGTAAGTAATAGATACCTGGTGAGAGCGAAGTGCCATATCCTCGTAGGGGGTAAAGATTGAATTATCGTCATTTTCGATAGCTGAAGCTGACAATGGTGACTCTTTCTGATTCTCGTATTTAATATCGTCCTTTATATGGACACTGCTCTGATTCTCGTATGACGAAGTACTTTGTTGATTTTCGTACGTTGAAGAAGTGCTTGGTTGATTTTCGTACGTTGACGAAGTACTTGGCTTTGCCTGATTTTCATACGATGAAATATTTGGCCCAATATTATTCTCGTAAGATGAAGAGCTTGGTCCAGCTTCGTTTTCATTAGAAGAACTGACTTCTGGTTTATTTTCGTATTGAGTATTGTTCTCGGCCGGGTTAACAGTATCGTATGCAGTAACGTAAGTGGAGACAGGTCTTTCTGCTGTTGCGGGTACTCTTTCTGCTGTTGGTATCTCCTGTCTTTCTATGTAGTCGTTACCGTCGTTTCCTGATTTGCATGATCATTGGTTCGGAAGAATTACATCAATGTGAACAGCTACTTAACTATAAACAGCTACTTAACTATAAACAGCTACTTAACTATAAACAGCTACTTAACTATAAACAGCTACTTAACTATAAACAGCTACTTAACTATACAGGTGGCGAGAAAATGTGACCATACATCACTTATCATGTGACCATCAAAAATTAAGATGTTACTAAAAAAAGGAAAACAATTTTACCGAGAGCAAACTCATTTGTAAAGATTTGATAATCTCCATCATCAGCTTCACAACAGGGTGCCCGGTACCTAACATCAGTATCAGAAAGGGTTAATGCTCCTTCATCAAAATCCTCGGTCTCCGTGCGATGCACGTTTTCAATAACATAGGGGACCTCCTGATTTTTGATATGCTTATTAACAAAGCAACACTACCGTATATAATGAAATAATAATATCCATCAAGCTCTCTTTATACTTTTATTATATACCGGCTTGATTATAGACAGTGTTTACTCACTTTACTCCTTCTTCTTCGGTAGATAAAAGTCCCTATAGCAAGGATAGCTAATAACACTAGAACAGCACCAATGATAACCACAACATATAGACTGAGACAGAATCCTGCTACCTTGATATCATCCAGATCACACACCTTTCCTAATGTTGAAAAAATGTGAATAGTGATTCAATTAATTAATTAATTAGTTAATTAGTTAGTCATCTCCAGAGTACATACTAAAAATTAGAATGAAGATGCGTTGATACGATTGGACTCTTACACGAGTTCAAGATGACAAACCAATTATAGCAGAGATGGAACCATCTACGTCAACATAGCACTCATCTAGATTACAGGTAATGTCTTTCTCGCAGAGTAATGGGTCACACACTTCCTCTCTTATTTCACTTGGTTCTGGTAGAATGTTTATTACGGGTACATGTTCACTGTTCAGTATTATGTTTCAACATTATCAATTTTGAGAATGTATGATCCAATAAAATTAGAATAATTTAGACCATGTTTGATTATATTTTTATTTTATACAGCTATACGAAGTGTTTAACTGTTAAATGATTGTCCTAAACAAATATACCCTTAACTTATTAGATAACGTACCCGTACCACAACTGTCGTCACATGACGATATCTCGTCTAACTCCCCTATACAATCACTGAAATTGGATTTCTGGTATTGAAGATTTATATCCAACAACGTAAGTTTAATGCACCATTTCGCGAAAAAATTTTTATTATTCATTTACTTATATTCAAAATTATCACTTCATCAAAACTGACCTCCCAAAGCAAGAAGGTAAAGGGTCGGTACAAGATCTAGTTCTACTTCTAGTCCCTGTTCCTGTCACGTCATCACACTCACACGTGCTCCAATCTCCCCATACAGTAAAACCACCGTTTATTGTTCTACCTGAAAATATTTCTTTTCTCAGCCTTCTACCTGTTAACAGGTTTACATAACATGCACTTTTTAAAGAGCAATCCAACTACGGTCCCATGAATTTGTTAAACTAATCAAACCTAAAGAAACTTACAACATTGGTCGTTACAAATTCCTATTGTCACGAAATCTCCTTCACACTGCCTGGTATTTATATATATTTTTATATTTTTTAATTTTTTAATTTTTTTAAACATGCAAACTGCCAAAACCAATGGTGCCCGTCGGAATATTTCAACTCGCAGGTATTTATGTTTCGAGAACAACTATAAAGTTAAGCAAGGTTACATGCACACAAGCCAAGGACATATAGCTATATATATGTATAATAGGCTAATAGGGGGTAAACAGATTCAATAAGATTTAAACCTTCCGAGGCAAGATGGTGAAGGGTTGGTACAAGATCTAGTTCTACTTCTAGTTCCTGTTCCTGTACTGTGATCACACTCACATGTGCTCCAATCCCCCCAAACAGTTAAACCACCATCCACTGTTTTACCTAAACATGTACACTGACATCAGTTCAAGTTGACAAAATGTTAACAAAGTTTTACAAAGATATAACAGTCAGATTCAATTTAAGCAAACATGCAACTTAAAAGGGATTCTGTTAAATGTGAGGACTTCTTGGAGTTGCATTCAGATTTTGTTCAGAACAAGAGTATCCAACATGACACGTTGATGTCTGAACTTGAAACACCCATGGCCAAGCAAACTGCTGTGAAAACTGCCACAAAGTGGCTTACCTCTACTGGAGAGGAATATGTATGGTCTTCCTCAAATGGCCACTAGAGCACAAGTCATGCACAACCAATATGGTTGACTTTTGTGATAGCATGGCATTGTCTCTTAACGAAAAAATTATCGATCATGTTGTGTATTTTGATTTTTCTAAGGCATTAATTGATTCTGTATATCATCACTGGAGGTACTAGGCAAAAGACCCCGGAAGGCAAAGGAGCAACACCTGTCACGGAAGACCAAGGATTTATTGATTCAGCGGGCACAGTTTAAGCGCAAAGACCCAAACTCAGACGCTAATAGGTCAGAGTATTCTAAACTTAATAAGTTAGTCAAGAAAAGCAGCAAGCTAGACGACAATAACTGGGCAGTTAGAATAGCTACTGATCTTGAGGAAGCAGCGAGCAAAGGTCAGCAGCGTGAGGTATGGGCAAAGATCAAGAAGATCTCTGGTAAGAACAAGAAGCCTCAAGCATCTTGTGTCCGGGACAAGGACGGTAGGAAGATCACGGATCCCCAACAGCAGAGGGATAGGTAAAAGGAGCACTTTACTGAACTTCTGAACCCTCCATTATCAAGTGTCGACCTTGCCGACCTTGATACAGTACCACCCCAACCCCACTTTAACTCCCTCTCTTGTTCGGATGGACCACCCACCAGAGACGAGATTAGTTATTCCCTGACAAAGCTTAAGAACAACAAAAGCCCAGGAGTGGACGGGAAAACTAACGAGCAACTGAAGTATGGTGCGAGTGCTCTAGTTGATCAACTAGAGTGTCTATTCAAGAAAGTGTGGGAAGAAGAGACTGTTCCTGAAGATTGGGTAAAGGGTGTGATCATTGTTATTGGGAAGAAAGGAGACACTTCAGTCTGCGGGAACAACAGAGGGATCACCTTAAGGTCTACAGCATCCAAGCTTTTTCAGATGATTCTTACATGCTGGTATGGAGTGTCTCCTCAGGGAGAATCAGTGCGGATTTAGACAGAACCGCTCATGTATTGATCAGATTTATTCTCTCCGAACTATTATTCATAACTGTCTTGAGTTTAACATTCCTCTTTTCATTAATTTTGTGGATTTCAAGGCAGCGTTCGATTCTATCAGAAGGGACTTTATTTGGTGCAGTATGAGACACTATGGGCTGCCTGAAAAATATGTCAGAATATTTCAGTCATTTTTTGGGTGTACCATGAGTGCCGTGAGGGTTAATGGGGAGCTGACAGACTGGTTTGATGTTAACTCAGGCACAGGTCAGGGTGACATTCAAGCACCTCCTGTCTTTAATTTTTGCCTAAACTTTTCTGCATTTCTGGCTGAGACCAACAAGATCATCAGTCAAGGCGCAGTGCTGCAGAAAGAAATGAAGACGGTCGAGGAAAAGGTCATTCTGGACACCGATTATGCTGATGACATGGCTATTATGGACAACTCAGGGGAAGGCCTACAGGAATCAACTGATCTATTAGTTCATTACAGCTCCTACGCTGGGCTCAGAATAAATGCAAAGAAGACCCAATGCATGGCTGTAAGCAAGTGCGCCTCCCAGCGACCTTTCATCAAGGATGATTGTATTGAGCTGTCGGTTGAGGGTGAACCCGTCGAGCAGGTTAGCAACTTTGTCTACCTGGGTGCAACTATCAGTGGGGATGGGACAATCAACAGAGACCTGGATGTCCGTATCCAGAAGTCTAATGGCGCCTTTCATCAGCTCTGGAACATTTGGAATAGCAGAACTATAAAGACTCCAACCAAGATCAGGATCTATAGGGCTGCTGTCCTCACCATCTTGTTGTATGGAGCTGAAGTCTGGAACACCACCAAAAAGCAGATGAAACGCTTCGAGGTTTTCCATCAAACCTCCTTGAGAAGGATCCTTAGGATTAAATGGTTCTTTCATGTGACCAACGACGAAGTTCTTAGGAGGGCTGGCATCAAGTCAGTTGAGACTTTCATCAGTGCTGCCAGGCTACGTTGGTATGGACATGTAGTTAGAATGCCAGACTCTAGACTACCGAGGTTTCTGTTGAACTGGAAGCCAAATTATGGAAAGAGGTCAAGGGGCAGACCCCGTAAGAACTGGAAGTCCTGCGTACTCGAAGATGCTGCTAAGTTTACGGGTGTTGAAAACATCGACAACGACACAACAGAAGCTTTGGCTACCAACCGAGTACAGTGGAGACATATGTTACGCCGCCAACGCGATGTGTGTGATGCAGGCCACTCCAACGACTAGGAGGAGACCTTACCATGTAACATGTATGTATGTATGTATATCATCATATCCTTCTTCATAAGCTAAAATCGTACATAACATCGATGGTAAACTTCTCAAATTCCTTACCAATTACCTTCAAGGCCGTTACCAAAGAGTAGTTATTGGTAATGAGATGTCATCTACCCTTTCAGTTAATTCTGGTGTCCCCCAGGGCTCTATTCTTGGTCTTTTATTCTTTGTGCTGTTTATCAATGATATTCCCCTTGGCCTTTCGGATATTACTGATATTTTTTTGTTTGCCGATGATACAAAAATCTGGCGTAAATTAGTACATTCATCTTCTGATAATGATAATTTGCAAATAGATAATATATACTATCTTTCTGATTGGGCACTAAGAAACAAAATGCGATTCCATCCAGCAAAATGTAAAGTAGGTACTTGTTGTTTCAGGGAAACCATCCTTATCTCCTCCATTCGCATATAATCTTGATGGCTCTCCTCTTTTATATGTAGAGTTAGAAAAAGATCTTGGAGTCGATATTACTCCTAAGCTAAGTTGGAATAGTTAATGCGACAGACTTTATAATAAGGCCTGCCAACAACTTGGTAATGGTATGGTCAGAAGAAATGGCCATATTGTCATTGATCAGAAACGTCGCTGGGCCCTTTACCTTTCCCTTTTTCCTAGCCAATTCAAAAAGTTTTCCATAATATGGCGCCCTTGTAATAAATCACTTAGTGATAAATTAGAAAGTCTCTAAAAGAGAGCTATTAAATGAATTTTATCTGAAGAGGGCCGCATTTATCCACTTGAGCAATATGTCAAAAAGTGCAGGCTTGTCGACATTCTCCCATTATCTCAAAAGTTTGACTTAAATGATCTTATTTTTTGCCACCTCGACAGTCTGTCTATTGTGTCATCAATTTTACCTAAGTTAATTCAAGATTCACACACCATCTGTACCTCAAAAATTCCACTGGCAAAATCATTTTTCTACAGAACTAATATACTGTGGAATGGACTCCCTTTACTGGTAAGACAGATTGTGTCTACTAGTCTTTTCAAATCTGTGGTCACTAAGCATCTATGGAAATGTTTATTGGATAGTTAAACAACAGTCTAGCCTAGTCTCTTTGCTCCCCATATTATTATTATTGTTATTTAAAAAAAATTTATCTACCTTCCAATACTTTCAACATCATATCACACTTCCCCCACACACTTTTTAACTGCATTCACATTAAAAACCATATCTCATGTTTCTGTAATTTTATCTGAAATTTTAGCACTATATCCACAGCTAGTTATTTACCTGAGATTTGTTTGTTATTTAATAGTTTTTCATACATACATTTTTGGATTTAGATTAATTCGATGTATTGGGTCGTCCAAGTAATTGCGGACATAGTTCACTATGTGTTTACCGTGTTTGGGTGCCCATCTTATTTTACAGATGGGAGCGATATTTTGAACGATTTTATTTTGAATTCATTTATTGCTGTACTCTGTAAAATTTGAAAAGTATTTAATTTTTTTAATGTGCTCTTGTCACTCAATTCGACTATTAAAAGTTAAAATGATAGATAAAAAGGAAGTTTGAACAAACTTCCTTTTTAAATGTATGCAACACAGTTTGAATAAGATTGATAGGATAATAGAATAGGATAATAGAAGAATAAATAAATAGATAGAGAATAGGATAATAGAAAATAACATAGAAATAGAAGATTGATAGGAAGAATGTTTTTAAATAGGAAAAAAGAAAAGAAGATAGGAAAGCGAGCTAACTTACAGCAATATTCGTGACAGGCCCCAGTTTCGAGTTCCTCCTCGTCACACTGGCTGAAATAAACATCACAATGGTTTATTACCCATAAATATTAACTGAGGACAAGTTGTATCCAATTATTCAGAATAAAACATGCACAAATACTGTTTTTAAACGTGAAGCTTCGTAATTATTACATATTATATGTTGATTCTATGTCCTTAGAATTGAACAATTTGTAACTGACTTGAATGTCCTGCACAGCAATTATTTGTATTCTTATTGTATTGCTGTGTAAATTTAATCATAATCAAAATTCTAATGTTGGTACCTTCCAAAGCAAGCAGGTACAGGGTCACTGCAAGATCTAGTCCTGTTCCTGGTGCCATCGCCTGTGCTGAAATCACAATTACAAGTGCCCCAACTTTCCCATTCAGTTAAACCACCATCCTCTGTTTTACCTAAATTTATATGGGTAAACATTGTACTATTGTAGTCAATGACTACGCCAGACCATGACGGCAGTGGTGTAACGGAGGGCCCCGCCGACCCCGCTGTGCCAACAGGCAACGTTACGCCACTGCATGACGGGACGGTGGTAACCTTCAACCTAGCAAAAGGAAAATTGGGGCACGTGTAATTATCATGTGTAATTATCACGTGTAATTATCACGTGCAATTATCACGGGTAATTCGCACGTGTAATTATCACGTGCCCCAACTTTTCCAGTCAGTCCTGACTCCTATTATATCCTAAACTAGATTAAGATTCACCTGTAAATGCATCATGCTTAAAATGCCACCTAACACTCTAACAAAACCGTTTTGGAACATGCGAAATAATTATGGTAAAATATGTTGTGTTCTTATGTAATTGCTACTGTTGTAATTATCTACTTACAACATGAGCTCTCTGAACAATCTGTAGTCTCTTCTGAGCTGCCTTCACAAGATCTGAAAATCACATGATTATTAGAGGGATTCTAGGCTAAACATTTCGATAAAATCCAATCATATGTCCAGTGTCCAGATGTAAATTGTAAATCATACGCTTTTAAATCCCAAGCACAGCCGACAAAGCTACTTGTCCATGTTACTGAAGGAAGACGAGACAAACTCTAAAGAGGAACTGCGAACCCTGATGCGGAACGGGATATATGGAGGGGGTTATCTGGCGTAGATCGGACTTAGTTCTATAAGTAGTAGCTTTTACTTACAGGCCGCCACAAGCGGGTGGTGGATCAGAGCATGTCCTGGTTCTGGTGTAATGTCCTGTCCCTGTCACGTGATCACATTCACACTCAGTGGTCCATTCTCCCCACTCCGACCAGCTCCCATCCTCCAGCTTACCTGAGTGGAGAGAATATTAAGGGGGGGGGGGGCGAGGGGGGGGGGGGGGGGGGGCGAGGGGGGGGGGGGGGGGCGAGGGGGGTAACGGGGGTTGAAGGCTTGTCGGGTTCAGAGAAAACTAGGGGGGGGGGGGATGTGGTAACGGGGGTTGAAGGCTTGTGGGGGGAAGTGATCGTACTTCAATAAATTGTAACTTGGAACCAATTTGGTTTTATTGGTTTAAGATAGAAAAGCAAAATTTAAACTTTAAATTCTTACAGCAGTCTTCAGAGCAGACTTTGACTTCTTCAGAATCTCCAACACACTCCCTGAGAGAAAAAAATTGGAGATAATTAAGAAAAACTACAAAATTACTCTATAAAATCATTTATTGAAATATGCCCCATCGAATTGACACATACCACGCGACATGACGTCACACGCCACGTGCCATGACGTCACACACTACGTGACATGACGTCACATACCACGCAACATGACGTCACATACCACACGACATGACGTCACACACCACGTGACATGACGTCACACACCACGCGACAGACCCCAACGGCCAACATACCGTCCGTTGCAAAATGGAGAAGGGTCGGAGCAAGTCCTGGACCGACGGTAATTTCCTTCTCCAGTCACGTGATCACACTCACAGTCTTCTGACCACTCATCCCACACTGACCAGTTCCCATCTTCTGTTATGCCTGGAGAGTTTAACGGAGTTATCTTAACAGAGTCGTGAGGTATGAATCAAGTCAAATGATATTCAACCGAACATCCAGATCTCAGCCTTTTGTTATTATACTATTAAGAATCGTAGAACATAGTTAGGGCAAGAGTTGAAGAACAAGCGAATTTTGATTAATATTAACTGTGTATAAATAATTGTCATGGTATTTACTGAGAATACACATTTTAGATTAACTGTATTTGTTATTTGTAGATGAGTTTTTAAATAGATTTGAAATAAGCGTTAAAAATAATTTGGTGTATTTTTTTTCGATATTTCAATAAAATTTCGAAAAATTCCACTTATTTCGAAAAATAAAGCTCCAATCGTTCTGAAACTATCATTCGCCTGCCATAATGTGGCCATTGCGGTCATTTTGCACCCTCTGTGGAGATCTCAAGACCTTCGGGAGCCGAATAACCAATATTAGGGGTGGGGCGTATGGGTTCCTGGAGAAAAATGACTATAAAAATTTTTGCCCAAAAGTTTCGGCTGGACGGTTTTTTTTGGTGGTTCCTGGGACTATGGACAACACATTCCTGTAGACAAACCTTTGTTACGAATTTGTTCACAGATTGACCCATAAACAGCAATTCTTGCCCTAACTAACAGTGCAGAAAACAAAAGGAAACTTACAACATCCATCATTGCAGGACCCGGTATCTAGCGTATTTTCGTCACAACTCCTGGATGGTTGTACGGAATTAAGAACTCCTTTGTATTCGTAATTAAATTGTCAAAATACCGGTGGAAATTATTTGGTAGGCCCTAAAATGACTCGTCCAGATCCAGTCTTATCCTTAAATTGGACATAACTCACTAGCTGAACTAGCACTGAATTGTCAATTTAAAACTTGTGAATTTGACTTGCAGCAGAGCTACAGGCTGTCAACAGTAGCTGGTAACTGACCTGAATCCGGCTAAGCTGATTCACCAAATGCAAATAAAATAGATCAGAAGAAATCTTACTTAATTTAACATAGCTAAAACTTGAATCTCACCTCCCAAAGCAAGAAGGCACAGGTTCAGTACAAGATCTAGTCCTACTTCTAGTTCCTGTACCTGTCACGTGATCACACTCACACGTGCTCCAATCTCCCCAGTCAGTTAAACCACCATCCTCTGTTTTACCTAAGATTATATGGGTAAACATTGTAGTCAATGACTACGTCAAACCATGACGGCCCGGTAGTACAAACTTACAAAGATTCGAACTCGCAACTTTGCGAAAATGAGGGCTCTACATATTAAGCTACTTGGTTTCAAAATGGTTGGAACATTGTTAAACTCGATTGTAGCAATAGCCTTTGTTTTCAATACATATTACTTGATATGTGTAAAATAAAGTAAAATCCCTTTTAACTTACAGCACTGATCGTCGCATGGTGTGTACTCTACACTCTCACCGTCACATTCCCTGTACAGAATAATACTGTCCGTCAAAACTAATAATTAATAGTTCGAAAACAATAATACACACTAATTAGGCTACATTTTCAGCTAAGTGTCACTTAGCTGAACATTTATTTTGTGCCCAATTTCTGCCTTGAATAACGAAATACAGGGTGTTTCAAAAATAATGTCCTGATAAAAAAAACAATAAATATTTTTATAAAGGAGCAAAATATATATAAGTATAAGCTCACCTCCCCAAGCAAGAAGGTACAGGATCAGTACAAGATCTAGTTCTACTTCTAGTCCCTGTTCCCGTCACGTGATCACACTCACACGTGTTCCAGTTCCCCCAACCGGTCCAGCCTCCGTCTATAGCACACGTCTCGGAGTATGTCGCTTCTCCTTCACATGTGCTGTAGTTATTATTTATTAGCGATGGAAATTTTAAATAAAACCTACTTTTTCCGGTCCTAATTTGGACAAATTCAGCTCCGGTAATTGCCATACAACTAAGGGCTGGACAGCTTCAATTCTGCCCTTTCTTCTTAATCCCTCCTAGTATCAAGTAGAAAACAATATCCTACCTGCCCCCACATTTAGTATCAAGTAGAAAACAATATACTACCTGCCCCCACATTTAGGAGTTGGATTATCACACAGCCTCTCCTTTGTCTTCACTTCACCCTCTACATCACACAAACAGCTACTCCATCTTCCCCAGACACCCCATCTGTTAGAGACACTAAAGTTATTCAAGCATCATATACTTATAGTTTTAGAACAGCTGGCAGATAATTATTTATGAGTCATAATCAAGTTGTTTAGCACTCCGACTTAAATTAACAATCTTAACGATGTTCGGACACAGACACATTGCAAGCCAAGGTATCAAGGTATGGCCCTTTTTGGAACAGACCGTCTCAAAATATAGATTAAATCTTATCTAAGACTGAAATACCGATGAAAACAAAACTGTTAAGAAACACTGATTAAATAAAGATAAAACTGACCCTCCTTGAACAGCTAGATCTAAACAACTCGTAGTGTCCCCACTCTCCCCATAACACACCCGGCCCCCGCACGTAGGGGCCGGGTTAGTGCAGTATCTGTACCGGGCCTTGGAGGGGATGTTGTTAGTGCACGTGCACTTCCCCCACACCGACCACCCACTCCACCCTCCCGTCACTGAGTCACCTGTGTGGAATTTTAGTACTTTAGTAGGCAATAGTGAGAGAACGGTCGACTTTTGCAAAAAAAAAAGGTGCTTGTTATCATCGCAAAAAAGTATATCAATTTATTTTCAGCAAGTTCCTCACCAACACACTTGGTCGCGAGCAGCTCCTTTACACGGATTTATCTACAACCAACAGCTACAGCTGTTTACAAACAGTTTATAAACAGTTTATAAACAGTTTATAAACAGTTTATAAACAGCTTATAAACCGTTTATAAACAGTTTATAAATAGTTTATTAACAGTTTATTGACAGTTTATAAACTGTTTGTAAACTGTTTATAAACAGTTTATAAACAGTTTACAAACAGTTTGTAAACAGTTTGTAAACAGCTGTTGGTTGTAGATAAATCCGTGTCGAGGAGCTGTTAGTGAGTAACTTGCTTATATAAACTGTTTACAAACTGTTTATGAACATATAAATAAGTTTCAATGACCCCCTCTACTTCTCCAATATTTAAGTAAAGAGAATGTTGTGTGTACTCACATGAGCTTCGTCTGCGTCTCAAGCCCAAGTAAGAGAAAGAAACTGTGAAGAGAAGGGAAAGTAGCAGCACACTCCTCACTATCATCACATGTCACCAGACTAAGTAGCAGCGTAGAAGTAGATTAGAAGTAGAAGTAGAGTAGGGTAGGGTAGAAGTGGCAGCGTCAGAATAGCAATTCCTTCTTTTCTTCACCTCATCTAATATCACAGTGTACCTTATCGGAATTTAGTTGAACGGACATTAATTTGACGCTGGAGGCCGCCTAGCGTTCATTTAAATGTCCGTTCAGATAACGTCCGATAGGATATAGTAAAACCATGATATATACCGTAAATATTTCAAATGAGAGCTTCACATACATTTTGTGAATGATCAAAACTCCGATTTACAGAAAATCGTTCTTAGACTTAATCTTTAAATATTTAGTCTTCGAAAAAAACTTCACTTTAAAATTAACGCTAAATTTCCTCCGGCATATAGTTCATGTGTGAACTATAAGCCGGAGTATAAGGCAGCTGACCCAGGCCGAGTCTATCGAGCACAAAATAAAAAGGATGAAACATTTTTCCTGTAAGCTTGTAGTAAAAATATACTAGCGGTTGAGGATTACATGCGATGAGCTATATTCTTACTTTATATCACAGGATCCAATCATGTCCTAATATCCCCTACTCAAAGTCGACATACCATTCACTGTATAATTGATATGCTAAGAAGGTACACGAAACGTGTGTGAACAATGTTGCGTTATCCAGCTATTATCGTGCAAAAACCTACAGCTTTACACGTCACGATCAGGCACACTGTTCCTACTCAAGTATTGTATCCTACAAATCTTCTCTCTATTCAGACAATACTATCAAGAATATTACTGTATATCTATTTATATTTAAAACTTTACAAAAAAATCCCATAATTTCTACAGTATAAGAGAGCTATATATGATGATGAATAGAAATTAAAATATAACTGATTTTTTAAATTTCCTCGAACAAAGCTTTCGACTATCGACTGGTCTAGTATACTATATTTTAGAGCAAGGAATGCTCATTGGGTAGCTATGGTTAACACAGTCACAAAAATGTGACATTTTTTCCATTATAGTGCCTAACAACAATACATTTTATTTCTGAGCAGTGCATATGGGAGTACGGGTAATGTTCAGAACTTCTGAACACGCTAGATTAATATATGCTAAAATTAAGCCACTATCGTCGAAAACCCTATTTTTTTGTTTGCCATTATCCTCAAACTTTAATGAACGTGTCCATATTATACACTATACACCGTGCAGCACTGTGATATAATACAATACAGTATTTGCGAGTGAAGCTTATAACCTATGGGTCGTGATACACATAAATTCTTCTGTTTTTAAAATTTTTACATCAATTTTACGGGATTAAAGTTTTGGAAAATTAAATCCAATAAACTAAGAAAGCGCTATTTAACTCAAACTGAAAACTACAAGTACAATTACTACACACGAAAAAAACATAACCTCATCAAAACTTTATCAAATGTTAAAATGTAATTGTATACACACTAATAACAATCATTACATAATGAGTGGCAAACTGTTTATTTACTGAGGAACAAAGAAGACGATGAGGTCTGATATCAGCGATGTAAACACACGGAACACATTGAGAAACAATGATAATGAAGGTATAATGTTGCTTCCACCTGAACCTACTAAACACATTATTACACACTATATTGTATGCAGTATATAATTGTTATCTATAATGTGTTAACTCATAACTGGCTCTTACCTGCAGTATTGTCTATAAATTGTGCGCTGAGAAAATTAAATTGCTCATTGTTATTGTTATACACTTTACAGTTTACAGTTAATCATTGATTTACCGCGAACCTCTAATTTAAAAAGATTTTATCGAAAAAAGAAATTAAATCGCAAATTTCCTGCGCCGAAAATTACTGGTTGAAATGTTTTGTTAATATTGATTCACAACACAAGCGTTATTTGGTGCAAACTAAAATAAATCAAGCTATATTTGAACGTTAGGAAGGCAGTCAAAAAGCTACACATTTAGCTAAAAATGATCTCATGACATCAATACCATTTCTTACGAGTATTCTCATGGCACAGTATATTGTCTAAACGTGACAACTGTGAGTAAAACTAAATGTTACCAACTAGTCAAAAATAGGGGTTCATAATACTATTAATACTATAATTATAGTGATCTCCTCGGAAGATCTTTCAAAATATGCTCCCTTTCTAGCAATATAGCTTTCTATAAGGGGCACAAAACTGCGAAATAGACGATTAATGTACAATAAATTTAAAAGTCTCAAATCCTGAAAGCTGATCCAAGCATTGAGGCAAAACAAGGTATCGTAAGCTTTAACTACTGTCTTACTGTACAGTGTACCTCATGAGAAACCTGTACAAACTGGGGATCACGAACACTAACTCGTAAGTTCAGATGTATCGTAAAGACCAAAAAGGAGCAAGAAAGCATAGCAGCAGTTGTAAAAGCAAAGGAGCTGTATATGAAATACACACAATTTGCTTCCTAGTTTAGAACCACCTCATTCAAGAACGGCCTACATACACTACAACTATAATAGTGCTCTATAGTGTAGAATACAGAATGATCTCATTAACGGGACCGAATCTAGTTTTATTCAGTATTATAGTGTCTTAGTGTGTTTTGATACGTCATGACTTTACGCACAAATAATAAGACGATGACGCATTTAGTACTAATCTCATAAGTTCCATGAATCGATCGAAAATTGCTATATTTATTATTTTAGTTGTATGGGACAACGATCACTATCATGGTAATAGTCAAAACGCGATAATATCTAACGTCGTCGCGAGTTAGCCATAGCTGGTTAGATATCGCGTTTTGACTGGCAGTGTTACAAAATAACCGTGTTCTCAGTTCTATTAATAGCGTATAACCTAACTATCGGACTTTGTTTGAAAGGACATTATAAAGAGACACTGGAGGCCCTAGCGTTCATTTTAATGTTCAAACGTTCAAAATTATGTCCGTTCACGAAATGTCCGGTCAAATAACGTCCGATAATATAGTTCATAGACCTGAGTTAATTGTCTTCCGCAGAATAATGTAAAAGCCTTTTTTAATTATTAAAAAACCCATTGTTATAATTGCTTTGTAAATTCGATTCTAACTATAATTATAATTCTAAAAATTATAATGTCTCTGAATCATTTCCCAAGCCAATACGATGCGTTTTGCTCTGTTACAACTCGTAGATACGACTGTTACGAGCATCCCTAGAAGTTCTTGGTAACTTTTTCTCTCGTTTATTTTGCACAGAAAGGTAATCACTTGTTGCGGCCCTCGGATTGCCCGAACGTGTTCCCGAAAACTGTAATTCTGAAATCCAGACTTTATTGACCTAAACATTTGGAAAATGTGAGTAAGATATATGTTGTAATATGGTATTTAGAGATATCTTTTAGGATATCTTAGTTTTAGTATAACGTTTACGGGACGTAGAATTTAGTATGTGTTTCCGGGTATATAATAACCAATGTTTTTATATGTTCGTATTTGGGAGTTACACATTTTGAGTGTAAGTCGGTTGGCTGGCAGAACTACTGTCAGACTAACTGTCTGAACTCTGAAAGTGAAACGAGCCGTCCGCTCACTTTGCACCTGACTTACAGCCAGGCCTGTGGTTGGTCCTCGCGACCACAGCGTGACTGCTAGTGGAGTGCTCATTGGCGAGACGGCGTGTCACGTGGTACAAGCAGATGCGTTGTGCCGTCACGCAGTGTGGCGTGACGAGTTTTGAGAGTATACCCGAAGAGCCGGAAGTGGAGAGCTCACTTCTTAGTTGCCCCTTAATCATTTTAAGGGATTCGATTGTCAATAGCCAGTTTAACTGAGTACTATTCTCTGTGACTAGACACGTAGTGTGATCTATATTCACGGCAATCGCTTGGAGCGAACACTTGGAAGTTTTTGTCTGTTGACGTTCACTTTGTATTACTTTTCCTTTTAATTAATTATCCATTTTAATATACTCGTTTCATTTCTACCTTACGGTACGCCCTGCCGTTCGTGCTTCGTGACTAGAGCTTGACTAGCGTACACTAAACACTAAGAAACTCCGTTTTCTATATCTGGAGGCCACTTTTAGTGTTGCTATTTTTGCTCGTGATCCTTCTAGTATCACCTATATTCAGTATAGTTTCGTTTAAGATCCTAACGTTTCTCATTTGATAAGCTAAGTTCGGTGTACTTCGCAGTTTAGAAGAATTATACGTTGGAGGTTGTTCTAGATCTTGAGTACTTCCTACTAGAATTGGTAAGTGTTGCTACGCATTTTGTGGTACCTGTATATTCCAGTGCTATCGTTTTGACGAGCACCTAGTTTACAGCCGATTGTAGACTTCAGTACGTTATTACCTAGATTTTTAGTGAGTTTTACGTAAGTTTAGCAACCTTACTTTTCGTACATCTACTCAGGAGTGATAGACGTAGAAGTTACAGTTCCAGTAAAGCAAAGTAAAGTCTTGACTAGAAGATTTTCCAGCAACGTGAAGAATACGCCAGTTCCAGTACTTATCTATCTATTTGTAAGTGTACCTTTTTACATTTAGACACGGTTTTAGCATGTGTGAGAATAATACAGCTGAACTGGAGTGGGCGGAGTTGATTATGGAGAGAGAGGATGTTCAGTTTCGCATAAATAATGTTTTGAAGGAGATAGATGATTTGAAGGCAGATGGCGATGATACTGCCGTGATAGAAAATACGCTGAGATACTTGCGTGCAGCTTTAGAATGCTTGCAGAATAAGATTGATAGTGCACGGTCTAGAATAGTCGTTGTACTTAACTCATTGCGTAATCGTACAGATAAGAAGACGTATAAGAAGGCAGAGAATGAGGATACTTCTGGGATAGAAGTTAAGTTGGTAAAATGCCTGCAGGATAAGATTGATAGTAAACCCATAACCATCCTGTTCAAGAGGATGCAAGCGCCGGTTAGCAGCGAGACCGTGGTTAAGGATGATTGCAGTAATTTGATTGAGGAATCCTGCAGTGAAGTGAGTGTTGAGGAGAGAACTATTCCGGAGTTCTTATTTGATGAAAATAGTGAGGACCCTAGCATAGTAAACATTGTTCAGATTACGCCTGAAATTGATAACCGTCGCAATTGTAGTCTAGTTCAGGCTGATACTATAGAGGAGACACCACTAGTTGCAGAAGCAGTTGATGCAGTGGAAAATGTTTCAGCGGTTACTAGTGAAGCACCAGTAAGCTCTCTAGAGAGAGGGGTCAGATTTCTAAATCCTACCCATGAGCAAATTAAACAGGCTCAGAAGGGTGATGATATCTTAAACCAGGTCTACGGTTGGGTGAGCAAGGGGGAGAAACCTGAGGTAATTCAGGCCGGTAGACTACCACAGGAACTGTGGTTAATCTTGGTATCAAGATTTAGTAGATAGATCTTTGCGTAATATTCAGAGTATACCACTACCAGTTTTAACTTATGATATAACACGTGTTATCTTTCAGAACAGTACTGATAGGGATATTAGGATCTTTACTCGCAACACGAACCGTTCAGGGCTGCTTTAGTGGCGGAAACGTAGAAACTTTCGAATTTATTTTGACTTCTTTGTTTGCTTGTCAAGGACGTTTTAGAGATTCCGATACATCTCTATCTAAGGATGAAGACTCAACACCAAAGACTCTACAGCTTGGTGCAAGAGGGAAGTATTTGAAGGTTTTGAAAGATTTGTGAAAGTCAATTTCAGTTTTAACTTAAGGATTTTGATGATTTAAATTTAATGCACAGGGTTAGGGCCGTGTATTATATTTTGAGACTTGACTTATTTTTAAGTTTTGGACTTTTGATGCGTGGGAGCATTGAAATTTAAATTTTGAAAAGGGCGATTATTTTATTGTTTTAAAATATTCGAAAAAAATTTTTGGGTAGAGATGTTGTAATATGGTATTTAGAGATATCTTTTAGGATATCTTAGTTTTAGTATAACGTTTACGGGACGTAGAATTTAGTATGTGTTTCCGGGTATATAATAACCAATGTTTTTATATGTTCGTATTTGGGAGTTACACATTTTGAGTGTAAGTCGGTTGGCTGGCAGAACTACTGTCAGACTAACTGTCTGAACTCTGAAAGTGAAACGAGCCGTCCGCTCACTTTGCACCTGACTTACAGCCAGGCCTGTGGTTGGTCCTCGCGACCACAGCGTGACTGCTAGTGGAGTGCTCATTGGCGAGACGGCGTGTCACGTGGTACAAGCAGATGCGTTGTGCCGTCACGCAGTGTGGCGTGACGAGTTTTGAGAGTATACCCGAAGAGCCGGAAGTGGAGAGCTCACTTCTTAGTTGCCCCTTAATCATTTTAAGGGATTCGATTGTCAATAGCCAGTTTAACTGAGTACTATTCTCTGTGACTAGACACGTAGTGTGATCTATATTCACGGCAATCGCTTGGAGCGAACACTTGGAAGTTTTTGTCTGTTGACGTTCACTTTGTATTACTTTTCCTTTTAATTAATTATCCATTTTAATATACTCGTTTCATTTCTACCTTACGGTACGCCCTGCCGTTCGTGCTTCGTGACTAGAGCTTGACTAGCGTACACTAAACACTAAGAAACTCCGTTTTCTATATATAAGTACATAATACGAGCTCTTCAATCATTTTTAGGTGTGCAAAAAAACTAAAAAGAAATGATCCGATGCTTGGAAGAAATGATATCAAGCTGGGGTGGGGGGGTCCCTTCTCCCTTTTGAATACTTGGGAGGTCGTAACTTGGAAAAAGTTGTCATTTGTCGTTTCTGAATTTGATTAACTGTTAACTTTGTGGAAGGTAGATCTAATTGGGAGAAGTTTCCTGTCACTAACTTTACATGTGATCAGCTTAATCATATTCATTATTCACATAATCTCATATCAGAAGTCAAATGAGACGAGTAGAGTTAACAATTCCTGAATTTCTGTCCCGAATTATCTTTGCTGATACTCTGATAGGTGTACACTAACCCGCCAATATGAAGAGACCAAGTATAGCTGATCTCAGTCTAAGCAAGGAATCCGTATTCCAGCAGTCAGGGGGTACGGACAGAGATAACATATTTAACATTTAAACTGATTCCTATGAAGGGGAGCTCGGAACATGGGCACTAAAAAGGCTTTATCGACGAAGTCTTATGTCACGTATCCCGTGTGTGCTGCTGTTAAAATAGGATAAGGTCACAGAGGTGATGAGTGATCGCGTGATCTCTTTATTTGGTCACGTGGTCACGTGATCTCTTGAAGGAGTGTAGCATTTGTGACTGACAAAGCTCTAAAGTTTTAATAACTATAGGTTATCGTGTGTTGTGTGCTTTCGTTACCGATCGTTCATATTCGAGACAAGAGAAACACTATTTTAGGACGCAGGGAGGATTAGGAGCCATATATTGGATATTTGAGACCCCTCCCCCTTCTTTTTTAGACCCCCTCTCCCCCTCCCCTTCGTTTCTAGACCTCCTCTCCCCCCTTCTTATATAGACCCCCTCTCCCCCCTTATTTTCTAGACCCCCTCTGCAGCTCTCCCCTCCCATTATTTTCTAGACCCCTCTACCTCCCTCTAGAAACTATACAGATACTCCAGCTTTACCAAACCCCTGTAACGTGGTTGTCAGTAAGTCACTAGTCAGTAAGTGAGAGACACAACGTCACAACTTCTAACAGCTACTTACAAGGTTTGTTGTATACGCTGGTCTTTACCGCCTGCGTCGAATACCGTTGTGTAAAGTTGTTTTCTGTTTTTTATAACGGAAAGGTTTTGTTTGAAGCTAATGCTTGAATAATGATAAATACTTAAAATCAGATTTATGATAGGTACGTTTTTGTTTCAAACTTGTGATTTTGTTGTAAATTGTACTTATTTATCAGTTTATAATAAATACCGTAACTAATCAGTAATAAAATACAGTTATTACCAAAGTTACTTCTCATCGGATTTTTCACATTTGAATTTAAATTTTTCCTACGTATCAATTGTTTCCACAAAATTCCTACTTTCAATTTTATCGTTTTCACCGCGTTTTTGCCTCCTTATAATTGTACTTGTATAGCACTAGCAGTTGATAGCAAATTGTTGTACGGCTTCGCATGCACGTGTACCCCTCCGCCGCCCCACCACCATCGATGAGATAATGCAGTATTAGCCGTAATTATCAAACTTGAATTTAAGTCTTACTTGAGACAATATCATAATTTGGGGCTGAAAAAGTGTATCGAGTTGGAGGACAGTGAAACTCGAGACGAATAAAATACGAAATTTTCAGCGGTTGTTCAATGTAGGTTAAATAATTACTATTTTGTTTACGTCGACGGAAAATATTTACTACGTTCCCATAACAACACGTTACCATAACAACACGTTACCATAATAACTTGTATTTGTAACGGTCTCCTCAATCATTCGAATGGCTGGCCTTTGGTATACGTTGTCAATACCCTCCACTCTTTCCTATCTCTTGCTGAAACTATCATGTCTCTGATGAATTGGTGCTGGTGTTTGAAAATAGCTGTTGACAAACAACTGTTGGCGACCGAGATTCGTTTTTAAACTCGTGTTTGATCCTGTCAGTTAGTGCAACTTTCATATTGCAACTCGCCGGACCTTTAAAGCTTACGAGAGTATTTTAACCAGTTATTACTACTTAACTAGCATGTTTCGTATTAAAGTACAAACATTTAATTTGTATGAATTTATGTTTATATTTATTTATGAGTTACAGCACCCATGAAACGACATTGCTAGTAATTAATGCTAGTAAAATTGTGTCCAATTGCAAGTAGTTGTAAAGTGCAGTGTATGCTGCTGGCCGGATGCTGCTTCACAATACCAATTTGTTCGATCTGTGTGTTACATATGACTTATGTTGGTTGACAGTGTGAAGTGTAACATTGCTATTACAGTTTGAATACTCCAATTGTTAGCTTCATAAAGATATTTTAATTTTGTTATTATGTTTTATGAATCGAATGATTATGAAATTAATTTAAATATTGTTGACACAAGTTTTATTCTTTATAATTATTTCTCCTTGATAAGGTGGGTTCAAACCTTTCTTTAACTGATTCATAATTAATTATCACATATTTTTTAGTTTTTAAGTTATATTGCATAATTAATTATCACTTAATTCTAGCTTTATTGCACGTGCAAAAGCAGCTGAAATATGCAACCTATCAAATACTACCTCCCGGATGAGATCTTTATCCTTCTGTCAACCCTGGGATATGCTCTCTGCGTTCGCATCCTCGACATTGACGGTTAGTAAAACTATAAAGTTTCTTTGTTGCTTCTGATTTAACGTTATACCGATGTGTGATAGTATGGTAATAGGAGAATATTGCAGATACAACAATACACTCTAGATTCATTAAGTTTAACTGAATACACAAGGGAAGTATAGAGATTGTTTATTTCAATGATGTTTATAGTAAGAAGAAGCTTCGCATCTCAAAAAATTGTCGGCTTAACTTTCTTTTAGATCCAGAACCACAATGTCAATGTATTAAATATTTGTATAATATATTAAATATTTGTATAATATATTAAATATTTATATAATATACTAAATATTTACATAATATTTACAGGACACGAGTGCACTGGGGCTGACAGTAGTGGTCTAATTCTTTGGCTCTTCCTCGTTGCTATGTTCGTTGTGGTTTTCGTTTCCAAATACCTTGACAGTAAAGACATTGGCATCTCCCTAGCAGGTTTGTAGCTGTTACATTATTTTAAAAGTTTATCTAGCCAAACCGATGCGAACCAAAATTCTTGAATTTAACATATTCCTCGAATAGGTGATGATGGTAAGCCATACCAAAATGAATTACCTCAATCGGGCAAACAGTACCTGAGCTATATAAAGACCCCTTGTATATAATGTTAAAACAATTTCATCTGATTTCAGGAGGGTTGATCGCGTTTTGTCTCGGTCTCGGTCTTCACAAAGGCCCTCTAGACTGTGTGATGTAAGTTATCCAATACATTGCCGCCGTAAGGCGATCGCGCGCTACTGGAAGTTATCCAATACATTGCCCAGATTTCAGAAATGGCGGATAAAGGAATTATATTCCTTTATCCGTTCTATTTAAAGAAAGTTTTAATAAAACCCGTATGACCATTTGCGAAACTGTTTTAAGTAAGGTTAACATTACTACTATAATAATAGTAGTGTATAATGTATACCTTACTACTACTAATGTATTACTACATATACTATCTCACCAACAAGATATATCGCTTGTTTCTAATAAGAAATAATCTTCCCGGACTGTTTTTATTTCAGTAAATTTGTTTTTATTTCAGTAAAAGCCGTAGAGGTATGGACTGGGTGAGAATTCTACAATCTATCTTTGTTGGAGTCCCCCTTCTCCTCTACTGTCTGGTTCTCTTCGGAAGACGCAGACTGTAAACAGGAAAATACGTGACACCCTTATTAAGAAGTTTCACCGCTGTAACGTGACCTTATAAGGATATCACGTGTTTTTTGTTTTTGTTGGTTATCTTCTCTGGTCCTCTTTGGAAAACGCAGAGTTTAAAGAAACAGTATTAATTTAGGCTACATTATGGGATATTACAATTGTAACACTGTAACAGTACCTCAGTATGTAATTGTGTGTATCAGTGTGTAACAGTGTGTAACAGTGTGTAACAGTGTGTAACAGTGTGTAACAGTGTGTAACAGTGTGTAACAGTGTGTAACAGTGTGTAACAGTGTGTAACAGTGTGTAACAGTGTGTAACAGTGTGTAACAGTGTGTAACAGTGTGTAACAGTGTGTAACAGTGTGTAACAGTGTGTAACAGTGTGTAACAGTGTGTAACAGTGTGTAACAGTGTGTAACAGTGTGTAACAGTGTGTAACAGTGTGTAACAGTGTGTAACAGTGTGTAACAGTGTGTAACAGTGTATAAGAGTATGTCGAAATGATTGCAATGGATCAGAAAATCGCGGTCAATTTTGTATCCTGAAACTTATCCGTCATTATGTGTTCATTCTGCGTTCATTCACTTCATTCTGCATTCATACACAATTCATTCTGCGTTCATTCACTTTATTCTACGTTCATTTTGCGTTCATTCACTTCATTTTGTGTTAATAATTCTGCATATATTATGTTTTACCGTATCTCCGTAAACGTAAGGTTATATATTTGTTTGACTGTGAACTTGTGCTGCTGTACCTGACGCAGCACGTTTTTTATTGCTTTTTCCTGTTCAAGAAGACAAAAATGGAATTTATTAATCACTTACTCATTTTTATAAATACAATTGTATTTTTGATAGTAAAACTTTGTCAATTGTCTATCGAGTACAAATTTGTAAAATTGAAGTGGTAATATAAATATGATTATATAAGTTCAATGTGTTAATAACTTAACTGGATCAAGTAATACAGTTATAACTGGATCAAGTAATACAGTTATAATTGAATCAAGTAATGCAGCTATAACATGAAACAAAATTCTTTACTGATCTTACAGTTACATATAGGTTAATAATTCTTTGATTATAAAAATCCTTTTCTCGTTGCCATCCGGAACACAGTCACTGTCAGTATGAAAGTGAGATTTTGAAAATCTGAGGACAGTGCCCAATGATGTCGTTTGATCAATTGTCTTCAGTGCTTTACTGATATTTATTATTAGAAGTAAAGCTAATCATATCAGCTCTGGACAAGATATGGTGGATAATCCCACTCGTGGTCAGTTGTTGATGATAAGTTGAAACGGGTGACTGACAGCTGAACCCAATTAGACCTAGTTCCCACACAGTAAAAACTTAACAGGGCACCCAATCAGTTTAATTGGGCACCCAATCAGCCTAAATCCCAAAACAACAACTAAACCCAGGACATATTGCAACTGCACCGAAATACGACAACAAATGTGAGGTTGAAACATCATCAAATGAAATGTCTCTCAGCTTCAGAGAATTCAATGTAATCTAGTAGTCCGTCGTTGTTTTTATCGTCTGCCTGCAGAATCTCATCAATCACCTGAACATTATGTAATATTCAGTAATATTCAGTAATAATCAGTAATAATCAGTAATAATCACCTGTACTGCTAATGCTGTTTAATGCTAAAAGAAATCATTCCATCTGGAGAAGGGCTTAATAAATTTTGCGCTGACTTTAAAAACACTTACCTCTATCAATGCTGCTTCGTCCATTGGTCCATCGTTAAAATGTGAAATTGCATGTACAAGTTCTGAAAAAAAGGTTTTTAGGTGAGTTTTTGAAATTTTAGTTTCTTTTACCAATCAAAATACGTGACAAGCAAGCGTTTACGTCAGATCAGGACCGTTCTTTGTTTTATAATTTACGATCTATCGTTATAACATAACATATAGACCATAGTCCATACTATCAGTATGGGTTCATGATACTGAACTTACTAAAACAGCAAAATTCTGAATTTTTCATCCTCTTTCACTGTACTATTACTAATACGGGTTACTAGGCGGCGCTTAGCCTGTCATTCCGCCGCAGCTTCAAACCCTCAAGCCGCAGCTTCAATCTGTTTATGAAGAGAAATTAGGTCCCCAGGTAAACTACGGGCAACATATTTACCCACTCTTTCCTGAACCTTTTCACTGACCTAGCCCGTCCAAGTGTTTGTTATTGTCGTAGTCGTGTTGTCGGAACCAATGGAAATGTAACTGTTCTTCCTCCGTCATTTTATTCTGAGGAATAATTATGATAGATACTGGAATGTTGCGCATTTATGACCCACATACCATTGTGGCTCGTTCAAGAGTTGAATGTTACTGAACATTACTGAATATTACTGAACATTATTGAATATTACTGAATATTACTGAATATTACTGAATATTACTGAATATTACTGAAGTCTGAATATTACTGTATATTACTAAATATTACTGAATATTACTAACTTTCATTTCGTCTGTCAATTCCCCTAGTGTCTCCTTAAGATGCATCAGTATGTGTTCCTTACTGAGGAGACGTCGTTATTAATAGAACTAATTAATTACGTGACAAGTAAATAAGTGCGTTAATTCGTACTAAATAATTAAAGAATCGTCATTCAACGGTTTATTGTCCATATGTGCCATGTCATAATCTCAACGGTGCAACATCTCACTGCTGTGCTGGTTGTGTAAATTATCTCGTATTCAGTGGATAATATGAAAAGCTCTAGGTTGACACAGTGGCGTAACGTTGCCTGTTGGTTCCCCTGACTAACCTCTCAAGATGTTCGTGATCTCCGTGAGACAAAACACATGACAAGCAGACGAAGAGCACAAGGACGGACAACATGTCACAACAAAACACGTTCAACACAAGTGTAACAGTTCGAACAAAAACCAGAAGTGACAAGGGAGGTGTCAGTGACAAATATAGTATACACAGTGTATATACAAAGTGCGGTTGTAAAGCTAGCGTTCCATGATCACATGGGATAATGGCTCACTCACTCCAGCCTGCCGACCCAGACCAGCTCGTTGGGTCGGGTTACTTGTCGTGAGGTTGCTAGTTCGATGCCCACATCCAGCGAGTGAAGTGTGAAACTCAGGCCACAATCTATTCTGGATTTGAGGTCGTGGCCGCTTTTCTTTCTGGGCATAGAATATTAAATATTTATTTGGGAGACTCATTTTCTTGTTGGTCTTCACTTTACAGTCTCCGATGATTACAATTATAGTGAATAGATCCAAAATGCTGTGGTACTTTAAGGCTGACTAATGTCTTTAAAGACTCTTCAGAGACAGATAATTTATTACAAACTGAAAACCCCCACTATTTTTAATGCAGCCCGAACCATTTCCTTAACCCAATTACTTTCGCTTTCAGCTTTGTGACAAAACTCCGACGGTCTTGCCACACGTGTGACAAGATTTAAGACTGTACCACGCATTATGCTCCCTTTCAAGGACTTCTCCGTTGATATTATGATCTCGTCTTTATCCTTCAGGCTTCAAACATTGTCCGTCTCCGGTCTCTAGTCTTCCATACGTCTTATGTCTTCAGTCTTAGCTAGCTGGCAACGCAATCTCGGGAATCTACTCCCGCGATTATATGTGCGTGCGCTGCGCGCGAAGCAAATTTTATTTTATTACGATAGGACGCTTTTTCTGAACATTTGTTACCGCGTGTTCCGTATATGTAGAAAGCAACAACTTTTTCATTTCCAGAAACTCAGAAACTCAGAAATAACGGGACTGCTGGATGAAGTCTGATTTTGGTATGGGTTTCTAGTTAACTTCTGATGTTTGATGACAGCAGAATTCTCCTCAGTAATTTGTCTGAACTCCACAATTGCTGTGGAGTTTCCGCCAATCGATCAGACCAATTCTCATTAATAGCATTCTAATTAACATACAGTGGATATAATGAAATCAGTGCTAATTGATAGCTTTGGATTATAATGTCGGACGTTTCCTTATAGGAGCAGCATTACAATGAGAGTGGTTTGTTCATTGTCATATTTATATCCATTACCATCTTACAAGAAGTAGATACTACATCCATATCTATCATCAATTTTTGCGACCATTACTTGCCCATGATGTCAATGTGTATTTCAGGATTACCACTATTGTGAACTCAATAAATGTGATTAACACTTTTGTATCCTTGTATCCTTGTATCCTATTCACCATTACACGATTACACGATTCCTAAATCAATTGCGAAATCTTTTAGAAAACCAGCAAAACATGACAGAATGTGACAGAATTGTAAAAAGTTAGGATTATAATATGTTTATATTGGGATTTCTCTGTGTAGTGGGAAAATATTGGTAAATCTAATTGAGCATTTAGCTTGGTATTTAGATCAGTATAATACAGTGAACAAGCTACTCAAATATATATAAATGGCTGTAGTGTATCATTCTGTACCATAATACACACAACAATTAAAGCATATATATTATATAACTAGACGCATACTACTAATACTATAATAATATATGTATAATATATATAATACAATGAAAACAACGATTCTACAAACTCAGAGTTTCATGCAAATGCAATCGTCAGTGTCGATTGCATTTGCATGAAACTCTGAGTTTGTAGAATCGTTGTTTTCATTGTACAATGCTCCCCTCCCGGGTAGAGCACTCTTGAAACTGGATTTCTCCAAAAGAAACATCATAATATATATAATATATAATATAACCAGACAATTATGCGATCATTTAACTGAATCACTGAATATTATTCAAATCAAGCTGTAAAGAAACCCATGCTAAGATATATACAGATATACACTAAATCTAACAAACGGCACCCAATCAATTACCGGCCTATTAAATCAATTACCGCCCAATTAAATACTCATTAGACCATTTTGAGAGGTCCCGTTGATTGCAGATCTTAGTCATCAGGGCTGGAATTTTAAAATCGTTCTTGATCATGAGAAACTACCACCGTATTGTTGAATAAGATGTTACCTTGGTAGTAGGTAACAGTTGATATTTCAGACAATGTTCACCTCAACAGATCGACAGAGAGGGGGGTTTGTCAGCACCACGTCATGTCACGTGATCAAATTATGTCATGTCACGTGACGGGATTAATGATTCGTCCGACCTTAAAGAAGTTTATATATATATTACAGACAGGATACTGGTCTAGAATTAAAGTAGGAAACTTTCAGATTACAGATTGAAAAGTGGAACTATAAACCAATATTATGTTTAGTTACGTGATCAGTGACACGTGATCAATGACTGAGTGACTCATCTGGTATCAAAGTGCATCATATGACATTATCATTCATCATAGTAGGGAATTTGCATCTATTTCTAACGATCAGATTTACCTGAATTGGAAAAGAAAACCAATAATTTATCATAAGTTGGTTTCCACATGTAAGTCTTATTACACATAACTGTAAGCAATCTCGTTGTCATCTGTTCGTTGCCAACCCGTCCACAGCATTATGTTTTACGTTATTTGAGAATAATGCAGAGAATATCATAATAATTCGTTGTCTACAGAACTCAGCAGTCTATAAGTCTCTTTACGTTACCAATGATGTAAACAGTAGAAATTCTACGGTAAAGTCTACCTCTACTGCAGAGGACGTGGTCCAATTAACGGATTAGCCCGAACAGAGCTAACTTTAAACTGACATTAACGGTTTAATCTGATGTCTGTAAAACACAAACTGACATTCTCTGCAGATCTTACTGCAAAGCTGCATTAAGTTGCAGGCTGTTGAATTAGTATCCGTATAATACACTGGAGGAGACGTTTCACTGGTCGGAGAAAACAAAGAATTACAATAAGTTGTCAGGTAAGTAATAATAAATATAGTGTACCAAACACACAGCGTGTAGGATTATTTGATACAAAAATATAACAAAACATTACAAATATAACTGCTTTTCTCTTAATCAAGATGTAAATGGGTCTGTTGCTACGAGGGGGGGGGGGGGGGGAGGGGGGCAGTGCACGTTTTGTCTGGACGGGTTAGCTTGGATTATAACTGCAGTTGTACTTTCCGGCAACTTTTCTGATTTTTATTGTAAATATTTGGTGGGGAGTAAACTGTTAGTTTTCTAGAGAGCTGTGATGCTCTCTACAAAACTAACAATGATTTTATCACAAAATTTCGCATAAAATGCATAAAATATAAGGAAAATTCTGCAACTACCACAACTAAATGGTGCTTTTATCGTAGACACACACCTACTTATTTGTCAAGAAGCGAGGCTGGGTGCTCTTGATGGGAAAACTTTGGACATTGTGTGTCACTGCCCCGCACGTAGCAACAACTAACCCAAATATCTCAGCTATCCATTACAAATACAACTTTACATTAAACAAATACAGAATTATACAAAAGAAGTGTTCAAATAACATGATGATAATTCGGAGCCTCAATTTGAAAGCTCGGTATTATGTCAAATATTTTGTGTTATAAAGTTGTAATTATTTATCAATCGTACAAATAATCAGCACGACAGGTCGCAATTCAAACTCCAGAACTTTGGGAATACACTCTCTTAATAAAAGTTTTGATCGCTAGTTAAGTCAGTTTCATTTCCCAAAAACATGTGCCGATGTAAAATTATCGCTTATTATATTTTTTTTTATTGAAATCTTTCAATTATTATCATCAGAATTTATTACAATATCAATGTTGTATAGAATTTCTAAAAATGGACTAGAGAAACCAAAAAATGCCTTGACAAGTGTACAGCGATGATAACAATCAGGGGACACCAATACACCCAAATAACCAAACAAAAGGCCTCGAGAGACCTGATGAAAAGTCGAGCAATTACATTGGGCCCCAAGTGCAGAAGGAGAAAAATGGGCAAATAATATGAGCTGTGAACTTAGGAGGCATTTCTAGGTTTTCAAGAATAATTGCCACAACCCAAAAATTCTCAATAACAATTGGCTGATTTGTAATATTTCCAATGGAATGAAGTTTTAACGATAAAATTTAAATAATTGAATATAAAAGACTAAATCAAAATTGTATCCGAATAAAGCAAAAATGCGTGATGAGTACCTCAAAAAAAATTAAAACAAAAATAATAGAGAAATACACTACCCGTAGTCTGGAGAAAAATAATTGTCAGGATCTGAACTAGGGTCAATATCTACAGATGCAGTACAAACATGTTCCTTCCAGATGTGTTTAATAAGTTCTGTTTTAAACACACCTGGTCTGATAATCTCTCGAAGGGAAAGAGGAAGTCGGTTCCAAGTGAGATGAGCTCGATAAAAGTAAGATTTAGATATAGCTGAGCCAGGTGGAATTGAAGATATTACTGATAAGTGATCAAGATGTGAGCTTCTCAGTCGGCTTGACCCGGAGAAGAAAGTAAGGTACTGAGGCAGAGTGGTGCATGGGTGGTATTGATGCACTAGGGAATGAAAGAACTTGAGATCATGGTAATCAAACCTGTACTTTAGGGGCAGAATATTTAACTGTTTACAATGGGCATTATAGATTTCCTCTACACTATAGCTTACACCGTAATCATTACGAATCCATTTGAGGGCCCTTTTCTGCAATCCTTCAAGCCTATTGATAGTGCTACTGGACGCTGGTCGCCAAATGATGGGACAGTGTTCGAATATTGAGCGTACAAGAGTAAGATACAAGACTCTTCTCTTGTTCAGATCATTAATAAAATGACAATTTCTCTTAAGCATGCCAAATTTTTGGTTAGCTTTACCATATAGAGCATCGGCCTGGCTATTAAAATTTAGATTAGACGTCATGATTATGCCTAAATCTTTTTCAGAATCTGTATAATCAAGAAGAGTTTGGCCCATAGAGTAAGTGTAACGTGTAAATGGTAAAATGCCATCTAAGGGAGACCACCTCTTAAGTATAGCTAAGACCTTACATTTATCAGGATGAAACTTCATCTTATTAGTTCTTGCCCATGTCATGAGATAATTAATATCGCTTTGAAGTATATGGTGGTCTTCCTCTTGGGATATCTCTCTCCACATTTTAGTATCATCAGCGTATAAAAGGATATTAGTGCCCTGAGAAAGTCCAGAATATATATCATTTATGAAAAGAACAAAAAGTGTTGGTCCGATTATTGACCCTTGAGGAACACCTGACAACACTGGTAGGGTTGCAGAGATAGCCCCATTAACAACTACACATTGCTGACGTCCGGAGAGGTAACTTTTCATAAATTGGAGAAGCATTCCATCGATGTTATAATAAAATTTTAGCTTGTATAGTATTAAGTCGTGGTTAACGGAATCGAATGCTTTGGCAAAATCGAAGTAAACAATATCAGATCTAATGTTCTTGTTAAGAGAGAGGGATAGGCTATCGCAGAATTCAACCATCTGAGTTGCACAAGATTTGTGAGGCAGGAAACCATGTTGACGAGGATCAATTTTATCATAACATCTACTCAAAAGTTCATCTCGAATAATTCTTTCCATGACTTTCATAACTAAGCTAGTCAAAGATATTGGCCTATAATTCTTAATGTCATTCTTGGAGCCTTTCTTGTGTACTGGAACAACAATTGCATATTTCCAATTTGAAGGTAGGAAGCCGGATACATAGCACTTTGTGAAAAGAATCTCCAGTGCTGGGGCTAACGTAAAGGCACATTTTTTAAGAATATAATATATCGTACCTTCTTTAAAAATAAAAGGAAATGCTAATAATTTGTCTCCACCTAATATCAGCACAATAACTTAGATAAAATAAGTCAGTTCAAACCGGCAAGTTGCAGGCCCGTATTGGCAATTTTCGACTGTAGAGAAAGATTTGTAACACAAAAAAACTTTTAAATATCTCTCCTATTTTAAAAGACTGGTAAGAATGGTATATTTGGGCAAATCAGCAACAACTAGAATGTATTGCACACATTAGAGTTACTTGCTACTCCTTCATCAATAAAACAGTCTGTTTTACATTGCATTGCGAAGCGAACTTAAAAGTTGAGTTAAAATATATAATAAATAATAATGGTTACAAGAAATTAAACAGTTTATTGATTATTGAAATGTTTTAAAATTCCCACTCTGCATGTTCTTTTAAATCGTTACTTTTTGCAGACTTCATGCACAACAAGACAGATTTTGTTGCAAAGTTTTAATAAAACTAAGACAATATTACCAGTAGTCATATCTTTTTTCGACTTAATCGCATTATTTCATCTCGGAAATTAAAATCTAAATGCATCGAATTTTTGGTTGGAAGGAATTTTTGAGAAGAACACAATTTTCTGAACAGAAATATCCTTTACTCAATACCACAGAGTAGGAGACATTTTTTTAAAGTTTTTACTGTCATGTAAGAAATAAAGTTTCAACAGTTATTAATCAAATTAATATTAAACTGTTATACTCCTCCCACAAAATCAAATAAACTTTTAACCAATAATTTTTACAAATAGCAGTAGCAAACATAAATAGCCACGTCATATACACAACAAATGACAAGCGGGTCCTTTCCTGCAATTCTAGTTGCATTTTCAAAAGTTCTGACTTATCCATAACGTCCCGGATTACGCAAAATAAACTCAAATACAGTGTTAATTTCAACCCGTTCATACAACAACCGGTTGACTGTTTATCAGTTCTAACCGCATTACACTGGAGCGTACAATGATCACTGCTCACACTTATATCACACAAACCCTGATCGCTATTAACCTCGTAAATTTTATCATACCAGATCACACTTAGTGGTGTGTCACATGTCATGGGGAGGCGGTGCGCTTGGATGTGCGGTCCTTGGTCCGTGGTACTGGTACTCCGGCTGAAATTCAGACAGTTTAATTGATGAAGGAGTAAGTTATGGTACTCCAGCTGAAATACAGACTGTTTAATTGATGAAGGAGTAAGTTATGGTACTCCGGCTGAAATACAGACTGTTTAATTGATGAAGGAGTAAGTTATGGTACTCCAGCTGAAATACAGACTGTTTAATTGATGAAGGAGTAACAGGTAACTACTTATGATACTTCGGCTGTAAATATAAACGGTTTTATTGATGAAGGAGTATAATAACTACTGGTATATAAATACACTGCCATTACTGACCAGTGATTATAGCCTCAGCATGCAGTAACCTCGTGATTCAAGAGAGGTCAGCCTGATTTTTGTAAGTGAACGAAGGTCATGTGAGAATAATATGATGTTTGAGGTGTTATGTTTAAGATGATTAAGGCTTCTCACATGTTGACAGAGTTAAGATCGCTAAGACCGAAAAAGTCATATTTATATTGAGAAGTACTGGTACCTAATACTATTTTTTTGAGAAGTACACATCATTTCTCTGTGAAGTTGGGTTTAGAGTACCTCGTGAAATGAGAAGTACACATTATTTCTCTGTGAAGTTAGGTTTACGACCTCGACATAACTGTAATTTTTGAGATGTGTTGATACTTGTACTCCCGGGAAGCGAGATTTCAAGGATTTTAGAGTCTTATTATGTGTGAAAGTCTTACTACTTATTGGTCGAAATCAGTGCGAGGGAATGCACAAATTGTCGTGAGATGAATAGTCGCCGGATGGAATGTCTTTGCGGTGCCGAAATGTTTCTGTAATAGCAAAGTCCTTTTGAAGTTTTGAGTGACGACGAAATTTACAAGATATCCAAAAAATTGTGAAACAAATCATTATCACATCGATTCCTAAATTCCTATATTTTCATGTGCTTCCTAAACTCAACTGTCATTTAGAATCATGGTTTAAAGCAGCCATAAATATCAACTTAGAAATCATAATAATATATCAGTACGTTCTCCCCCAAAAACGTATCCCTTCATCACTGTCTACGATCTTACAGAGTCAGATTTACCAAAGTACTGAGTCTTTGGAGTAAGGAGTTATCTATAAAGATCATCTTTAACTTAAAGTCAATGTGGGTAGATAGGTGCATAACTGAAGAGGGAATGTGTCGCTAGTAGCGCTATTATAGCGCTACTAGCGCTACTACTAGCGCTATAATAGCAGCAGCATCGCGGCAGCATTGAAGCGAAATGGTGGCATTTTGGCAGCGGCATAGTTATGTTGGCAGTGTTTCTGTGATATGTTGATGGAATATTGGCATTGTTCGTTGAATTTAAGCCCTAAAGTAACAAATATGAAAATGTCAGTTTACTTTTAAGTTGTAACTAAAGTAACTGGTACCCAGTTATCCAGCGAATATTCAAATTGTCTGTGGTAGATCATTTGTTAAACAAGTAATCGAGATTCTCTCTATATTTTTACAGGGAAGCTCTGATTGTCGCTAAGTTTGTAGAAAGAATCCTCAAAGAAGCACAGAGTAAATCGTGTTTTAACAGTATGTGTATGTTACTTTGGGGTATGATGCAGCATAACGCTGTTCAAGCAGCTGTTCAGAGAGTGTTCAGAGAGTGTTCATAGAGTGTTTAGAGAGTGTTTAGAGAGTGTTCAGAGAGTGTTCAGAGAGTGTTCAGAGAGTGTTCATAGAGTGTTTAGAGAGTGTTCAGAGAGTGTTCAGAGAGTGTTCAGAGAGTGTTCAGAGAGTGTTCAGAGAGTGTTCAGAGAGTGTTCAGAGAATGTTGAGAGAGTGTTCAGAGAGTTTTCGCCTTAAAATGCTCAAATAGCATTGATAGCCCCCTTTTTACTGTTACCCTGTTAACTGTTTATTCTCTATAAAAAAATATTAAATGTTCTAGGTCACTCCAATCCAATCTTATAAGAGGAAACACATTGGCAGAAACATTCTTCATAGTTATCACTCAGGATGTCGCAGCACAATATTCTAAATTTTGAGAATTGTGTGGCATTTTTGATACCTGGACTGTTATGGTTGTAACATTAAATTTAATCGTAATGATGTCTGATCGTCATCTTCGTACAGCGTTCGATGTCTGTGTGAAGGTAAAATGGTGATATCCTCTGGATCAGGCAGAGGTCGAGTGTTATCGGGATAATTTCTGTAGTAGTGGAACAGCAATACAGTCCCATTACCTTAGTATTGCTGTTCCACTACTACATTAATTTAATCGATTAGCAAAGGAAATGAGGGGAAAATATAGTGGACTGCTCCTTCATAAATGTTTTTATAGGCATTTAAAAACTTTTCAATGTATCGTGAACACCCTGTATATCCCAGATATTATGGTAATATATCCCTGAAAAGGACTACACAGGTACAGGGAGATGTGTATAGTGCTTTACATGGTCCTGTCCAGTACCAAATACTTCATTTAATACTTCTACATCGGTATTTTACACGGGTATTTTGGTGGCTTCCAATCTTCATCACAATTGCTTGAGAGATGGACTAAAACAAAGCACCTCTACTGTACTAATTAGTAATTATACCATATATGTCGTTAAAGCTGGAAGATCTGCGATAATCAAGTAGCTGGAATGAAGTGACAGATTTATTGATGAAGGAGTAAGTGATTGGAGGTGCTAATTTAGAAGATTGTGATTTGTCAGACCCAGGTACGAATAGCAGTTTGTTAGGAGTGAATAGTATGTAGGGTGGACCAGAATTAACTTAAGGTATGTTGACAAGTGTCCGAGTGATATTGGGATATTGGCCAGTAGTAGAGGGTGAAAATATCACCTTGACTAAGATATTGCACTAACATGTATACTTAATTCTGGTCCATGCCTTTTAGTATATAATACACTAGTCTAATGCGGTTACCGGCTATGGCTAATACGATTATCATTGATAACATTAGCAGAAATGTTCTCTATTTTTATAACATTATATTTTCTGATATTAATTATTAAAGTATTGATATAGTATCATTATCAAGGCAAAATTATCAGATTCAGCTGCAGTCTACACCCACTCTCGAATAAAAGTTAATTAATCTTGTTCATATTATTTTAACAACAAACAGTTATTTTACCAACGAATTGTTATGGAACCAATAAATTATTAACTAATCATGATGACCTATTTATTAGATTAATTTGTGTGCAAAATAAACTCACCGGCGGTTTCTGATCGTACGGAGGCTGAAATAAAACTCAGATTAGATAACATGCTATTATAATAATAGTTTTTGTAAATCACCCATTCTACTTAACAATAACTCAACGAAATAAATAGAAAATTCCCAAAATCAAAAGTACAATCATTATTTAATCAATATAATCAACTATTACAATACAAGATTGAACGACCCTTCATACATTATAATGAGTTTATAACTCTCAAGTTTCTTTGAATTAAACAGTCAAACCTCGATTTACCGTGCCTCACTGTACCCACTATTTACTGATCTTATTTCCTATTATCTGGTTTTATTTGTAAACGCGACGTAAATTAATCTTCTTTCAAGTTTTAGTCGTTCATGCCCATTTACTGAGCCATTTACCGAACATTTACCGAGCCTACCCCCGAGAGAGTCCTGGTAAATCAAAGTTTGACTGTTTTAATGGTTTAGGACTAGGCTGATCATAGAAGAAAATAGTACCAAGTTTACTATGCAAATTATGCAAATTAGTATACAAATATGCAATTACTATGTAAAGTGTAAAGTATGCAGGTACTGGCTGAAGATGGGGTATGCTTACCAGTATACACAGGTAGGAGATAAACGTGCGACCCTTCTTCCATAATTAGGACTCCCTAATTATATGATTGCTTTAATTAATTACATAATTGCTTTAATTATATGACAATTATGTGATCATATTATGTATATTTTACTGATTCAAGGATCTGAATGGATTTTTACAGCTGTAAAGAACTAAAGTGTAGAATTAGGTAGAAACTGAATCAAGGGGTAAGTAATACTCAGTGCGGAAGATAGCTTTTCTTATCGGATGCATTGTTAGATTGATGTTTTTTAGACTGATTAGAACCATGCCTTTTTAGGAGACTGTTGATTCCAAAATAACATTCAAGAAGGATAAGATTTACATGCAGTGATAATGAAGTAAAATGAAATTATTTCTCAACGTATAATACCTGTGGACAAGTTGAAGCTCGAATAATTGCAAATGCTACAAGCACGAAGGATTGGATTAAACAAAAGATGGATTCCAAACCATTTTTACAACCCCGTATTCCTCTACCGGCTACCCATGACCAGCGGTTAACCACCACGATATTAATAATAGCTCCCTATGATTAGAAAAGATTGAAAACTCAGCGAGCAAGCCGTAATTTACCTTCTGGCTTGTCTCCTATTATAGGCACGGTGATAACGTAATGTTTTATCATGCCATCAGCAGATTGTGTGGAATTAAAAATAAACAAGATAACTGTGCATTCTTTTTCGCCGTGATTTTATAAGCCACAATATATAAGATAAGGCAAACGATTGAACCTTGCCTTATCAACGATAAAAATAGCAATTTCGTTCGTTTTCTGTTCATTTACAAGTTTAGAGAGATAAAATATTTCGAACACAGTTGAAGGACCAATTATGATTTTTATCACGGGTAAGAAATAGGTAACCACGATAAGAAAGTGTATTTTCAAAAGGCCTTCTAGCTTTTCAGTGGCTGCGAACTTTATATCATGTGTTTTACAAGGCCTACTGGTGGTGGAAGAGGCGGTGATGGAAGAGGCGGCGAAGGAGGCGGTTTTACAAAGCCTACTGGTAGAGGTGGAAAACAAAGCAGGTAACGTGACAATTTCACAGTTAGTTCAGGGGTCAACACCCTTCCAACACTTCAACACAAACATATTTTACCCTCGGTATAACACTATCCCACCGGCCATGTGGTTGAGGATGTTGACTTTAAAACAAGGTTGTAAAGTGTAAAGCTCAAGATCGGCTGTTATTATTCTTTTGTTCCATTGGTTTAATAAAAAGCTCATCGAAGAATCACTGAACTTGAACATTTGCAGATCTACCATGTAGAAATCCGGGATTAAATTAGCCTATAAGTTTACCACTTAAAACAGTCCCTATCTCTAATTTCACATACATATTATGTGAATTCAGCAACTTAATGAGTTGTTCAACAACAACATCTTTCATTCCGGCTTCTAACCTAACTCCCGAGATCACTAAATGATTGACTCTGTCAACATATAACAGATTATCTCAGGATCAAACTGAGAATAAGCTCTAAACTAATCAGTAAACCATTAGTTATTATCATCACCTTAACAGTGTTGTCATGTTGTATTGGCACCTGGGATCGGACCTAACTGGTTCATACCTAGAACCTAACTGTGGTGCTTCATAACTAGCACCTAACTGGTTCATAACTAGCACCTAACTGGTTCATAATTAGCACCTAACTGGTTCATAACTAGCACCTAACTGGTTCATAACTAGCGCCTAACTGGTTCATAACTAGCACCTGACTGGTTCATAACTAGCACCTAACTGGTTCATAACTAGCACCTAACTGGTTCATAACTAGCACCTAACTGGTTCATAACTAGCACCTAACTGGTTCATAACTAGCACCTAACTGGTTCATAACTAGCACCTAACTGGTTCATAACTAGCACCTAACTGGTTCATAACTAGCACCTAACTGGTTCATAACTAGTACCTAACTGGTTCATAACTGGTCAGCGGTTACTTTGTTTGTGTCAAATAAAATACACGTAGAAAAATGAGATAGAGAGAGAGGGTGGTGTTTTTTCAGTGATCTCAGGAGTCAATTTAATGTGACAACACTGTTGTATAAGTTGACGTTAGCAGCTGTTATCAGCGGCAATTACCTGTAATTGATTCACAACCAATGGGGGTTTTCCAACTATATGTGCCACGTGCTCAAGGGATGTAAGGTATCTTTACGTTATGCGTTTAGTGTTGTAAAACTAATTACACAATTAATTACATAATTAGTAATTAATCACGTCTGTTAATTAATCAAATTAAATTAAATTGGGCTTTTTCAAACTTTATCGAGTCAGTGTATTATATGGTCACGTGATAAAAATCAAGGTCATGCACCGATCAGGTTAAGCAAAACAGGGATAATTAGTGATTTAAATGTTAATTAGTAATTAAGTTAATTAGCGTAATAACACAATTAATTACTAAATCAACAGACGTTAACTTTCAGGTGGACGGAAAGTGCTATGGCATGCGAAAAACTGTCTGCTTAACAGCTGAATTTTTCTCTTAACGGATTGGTAGATAGATTACACGTGATAGTGAGATATTTCGACCGTAGTAAAAAAAATACTACGGAAAAGAGTTCTTAAATAATTAAAGGACATGTAAGTGTAACTATCGTAAGTGATTAAAGAACATGTAATTATCATGCAGAAGTAGAGAGGTACAACTTACCGGTTCGAGAACCTCGTCGCCATAATTATCGAATCTTCGTGCTGAAAATATGTCATAGTTAATTAATTAATTATTATTCGACCCACTTAACTCTGAGCGTGATCAGTTCTATTTATAACAAAATTCAGAAAGTTTAACTTTACAGGTCTCAACCTGGGTAGTCCCTTAGTGTAATGTTTATTGTCAAAACCCCAAATCAAAGTACATTAATACCAAAATTTAATTATATTGTCAGACCGAATTTTCTAAAAAGTACTAAAATACTACCAGCACAGAAATAGGCTTTATTAAAGGCATATTTTCAGTATTTTCAGTGTAACCGAATTACAGAATGCACATTCGTCTCCTAAGCTCCATGCCAAGGAAAATAACTTATCGACACCTCAGATCAAATAGTTGCCTCATCTCGCACAACAATGCTGTGGCAAATCACGGGAGAAGATATCGAGTGTGTTTTATACATTGAGTTATCATATTTGACACGTGACATTGATTCTGGGTTTTGATTGGTTAACGCTGTCCAAGTTGATTAGATAATCGCTAAATCGGTGTCACGTGCAATATTGAACTCCTAACAGTTTCCAGAATAATATATAGTAATAAATCACGAGGGTAGATACCGTGTGTTCAACTTATATTATATAACGATACGCTTCTAGCAGTGACCAATCAAAACCCAGAATCAATGTCACGTGTCAAAAACTAACAACCCGGGATTCATAAAACACACTCGATATCTTCTCCCGTGATTTGCCTCAGCATTTTATGTGTAGATGGAGCAACTATTTGACCTGTTGGAAGCACAAATCAGCTTCTAGCGTTGACCAATCAAAACCCAGAATCAATGTCACGTGTCAAAACAAATTTGGTTCATCTCTCCACTAGAAAATATTGTGTTTTCTTGACTGATACCGAACATCAACTAAAGAAGTGTGTGCCTGTGCTAGGTGGTAAAAGACAACTGTTAAATGCGAATCAAACTCAGGCAGAACATTGAGATATATCGCACAAAAAATACACACATGTACATACTAACAATCACACATACTCACAAACGCACAAAATGCTCTGGAATGCTCACAAATCAAAATGCATAAAATGCTTATAATGCTTATAATTTCCCACAAATTTCCCACAATGTACAAACACACACACACACACACACACACACACATTCCCCACACATTCCCCATACAAACACTCCACACACATGGTTGTTGGTTGTAGTGACCTCTGTATCTGTCGAGCGAGCCCACTGCTTGGTCCAACTCAACTTTGTCTGAAGAAACTGGGATGAGAAGTACGTCAATTAGTTGTGAAGTACGTAACCTAGATGTGAAATATGGAACTGAAAAGTATGTTACCTACCCAGCTTACTTTAAGTTCTTTCAGTAAAAGAGTGTAACTCAGATGGTGTTTAAAATACCCAAAATGTCCCGTTTGTAATAATTATCAAAATAAGACCACTTTATTTTTGCATATTTTCACATATCGAGGTAATAAAACTATGGAAAAGTATAAGAAAAGATAGAAAGCTCGTGATAACAGAAATTGTAAAATTATTTTCCGCACAGTTGTATATTGTTTCTCTGAGTTTTAAATCTCACAACATATTGATATCAACTCAACATTAGTTCTTTGGTATATTATGGTCTAGATATTTTCCCACGATGACCGAGATAAATTCCTTAGCTCCACGCTTCAGAGTACGGTGTCTACAAAAGAACTGATGTTTAACGTCAAATAAAAAGCGTTTAAATGTTTTGTAGAAAACTGTTCAAGTCACCAAATATGCTATAGGTGTGCGGCAGTTTTCTCGTTTTAACCCGTGCTTGTATCCAGTTGAGCAGGAGTACCGACGTTTCAATTCTTACAGAACTTTAGTGCACGGCACCCGATGTAGTGCACGGCACCCGATGTAGTGCACGGCACCCGATGTAGTGCACGGCACCCGATGTAGTGCACGGCACCCGATGTAGTGCACGGCACCCGATGTAGTGCACGGCACCCGATGTAGTGCACGGCATCTGATGTAGTCCACGGCACCCGATGTAGTGCACGGCACCCGATGTAATGCACGGCATCTGATGTAGTCCACGGCACCCGATGTACGGCACCCAATGTAGTGCACGGCACCCAATGTTCGAGATATACTACCGACAGTTCAAACGCGGCAGTTTCCCGTTTTGAGACGTAATTAAACCTGCTCAATAACAGTATTTCAGTAGACGTGCTAAGCAAGAGTATTTCAGCAATTTTCCTTTCAACATTATTTGTTATTTTGTTAGGCATCATAACTTCGTATCTCGTACGGTCCCGGTGAAATTAATAACTAATTAATTAGTGAGATAATCGCATAATTGGATAAATCTTTCGTTTCAGCAAGAAATAGTTTAGGAGCTCAAATAGCCGTGTTTGATGTTGAACATTGGAGACTTCTGTAGTTCTGTGATACTTACCGGCGCGGCGCGCGGGGATCATAACATTTTGTAAGACTTTGGGAGGATTGTGATTTTATAGCTCAAATTAATTTGCAAATCGAATAGATTTGTAAATTGTTTTAATTAATTGATAAACCATTATTTTTAAAACCGACCGTGTACTATTACAGAAGATCAAGTAGATCAATCATAGGATTTTAATGCACAGCTTTGTGACTAAATTCGTTACTCAATTTTTCCCGTTTCACTTTCCGAATTCCGTCCGTTAGAAATTCCCGGTAAAATGTACCTTCATATAATTTCTCATGTGCATAGAAGCTCAAATAAAGCTAAAATAGCCAAGTTTGTTTGGTGTACAGCAGACTTTGTAATGAAAAGCACGGCGGATAGGTCTAGGGTTCATTTTGACAGTACATTTCGTGTCCGACTGACACACTAACGACCATCTGCCACACACACACACACACAACTATTCATACTAGCTTATATACCTTACAGCTGTCACGAGTCCGGAGGGAATAGTCCGGAGCTTAATGTCATATTGTCATGTCCGGACTCCGGGGAGTTTAGTTACCATTAAAATTGAGGAGAGCTGTTTTTTGTTGCTGCTGAGAAAGATATACCTGATAAATATGGGGAGGGTTCAACACCATGGTGATGACTCAATGACTGTAGTCTCTGTGACCATGTTTATTTGACAGCACACACTAACGAACACCACCTTACAGGGAGAGTTACGATTCAAATTGCGGAGAGCTGTTGACGGGAAGGATTTGGTGTGTACTGAGTCACACGTGGTACCGGTCACGTGGGGTCAGGTAACAGGTGTATGAAACCAGTCACGTAGCATGTGGTAGCACGTGGTGTGGTGACCGTTAGGGGAGGGATATGAGAAACACAGGATCCAGGGCTTATAAAAACCCTCTTCTATAGGTCGAGAGCAGATGTTACGTGATACCGATATTGTTAGTTTTCGAAGTAACGTGATATCGATATTGTTAGTTTTCGAAGTCACGTGATATCGATATTGCTAGTTTTCAAGGTTTCAATTAATTGATTGTTAGGTTGAATAGTTATTTTTAGAATCATGGAATCTAGGAATGTGACAATTGGTCGCTGCCGGGATACAAATTCAAATTAGTGCTTTTGTAATAGCTGGGATAGAAAACAGAAGTTGCATATAAAGCATGGATAAAGCGTAACTTAATTGTTCAAAATATTTATCGTAAAGACTTGGACCACCCAAGGAATGTAGTGTTTGATAGTAAAAATGGCAAAGAATGCAGATAATAATATGATTATATTATTATCTTCTTTAAAAATGATGGGCTGCTCCTGAAACCGTAATGGCATCTGTCGACGTTCTTCAAAGGAAGCATCTGAGACAGATAATCAACACCTATTGGCCTACGGTTATCAGTAACGAGAATTTATATAAGAGATGTAATGTCAGACCCCTTACTGAAAGGATCAAGAAAGCAAGATGGAAGATGCTTGGGCACGTTCTCAGAAGCGGTGATGACACTCCCGCCTTCTTATCTTTCAGATTTGCATGTTTAGGATGTTTTGACTACAAAGGAAGGAGGGGCAGACCTCGTTCAAATTTATTTGATTTATTATTAAAAGACATTATGACAAAACAAATTATTGTGATTGTAAATAAAAGATTTAGTTTAAGTAATTTCAACGATTTAGTGTACAAAGCTCATGATAGACGTCTTTGGAGAAGTTATGGGTGAGTCGAGACTACTCGGCCACTCGATTTTATGATTTAATTTCTATTATCTTGTGTTTGCTGTATATAGTTGATTAATAATAAAAATGATATTAGATAACAGTTGTGTTTAACACTATCAGCAAAGTAACATTAGGTTTCTATTAGGTTTATATTAGGTTTATATTGGGTTTATATTAGGTTTATATTGGGTTTATATCGGGTTTATATTAGGTTTATATTAGGTTTATATTGGGTTTATATTAGGTTTATATTAGGTTTATATTAGGTTTATATCAGGTTTACATCATGTTAGTTTATACTTTTATAATAGCATTGTTTGAAATAATTATAGATTGCTGTGTTCGCTTTCAGAAACACTGTGTTTGTCAGCTACGTGACAACATAAATCCGGCCCAAGCGGCAGGTTTCTTTTGTTGCCAAGTATATGTTTATTTCTGGCTTCAGTGCTGCTTTTCAGCACTTAAATAAAATTAGGAGTGCCTGCAAAGTGTGATAGTTTGTAGCCAGACGATAGTTTGTAACCAGAAGTGTTAATTTTATGTGCAACGTAATGGTTGTGTATCTATAAATAGATTTGAAAAGCACAGAAATGAGAGGTTTATTTTAGGAGTTGTGGTTACTTTTCATATTGTAAGGATAATCCATTATTTACGATTTACAGAAACAAAAATGGGAATTATTTAGACTTTAGAATTCGTTAACTTCAGACGTTTTAATAATTAATATACACTTATTTCAGCATCAAATTTGGCACCATGCAATAATTCCATGATTTGCGAAAAGTGTTTCTTATTCAGGAGCCAAAATCTTTTACATCTTTACATCCTCCCAAATGATTAAATATTGCGTATAGTAATATTTCAACATAATTATGATGTGGTTTGTAAAGTTTCTTGTCTAATAACAAAATCAATGTCTGATACTCCAAAGACATGACAATTTCATTTCTACACTGAAAAATTATAATAATTTTAATGTCTACAAGATACAGCTACTGTTTAGAATAATATTTCGTGCAAACAGGAGAAATCCTAGCAAATCCTTAGAGTTGAAACTACAAACTATCAACATGTGGACTAAGCACTTTATCAGTAAATTAACGTTGTGACACAACAGGGTCAAAACGTGATATTAAAACGTGACAGTGACTGTGTGACTGTGACTCAGTAACTCAGTGACTCAGTGGCTGTGGGATACTGTTTCACCATCTCATCATTCAAACAAGGTGATATTTTCTACCATTGGTTCATATCCTTAGAGTGGAAGTACAAACTAATATTATATGTACATCGATCAGCAGAAACAGTCACAAATTTAGGAATAAATGAAGACTAAAGATTTTAAATAAATATTTCAGACTAAAGATTTTTTAATTTTCGTTGATGTTAAGGGTTTCTTAAAGAGACAGTTAGCTCGGGTGTGATACTCACATACTGTCAATCTGATTATCAGAACTGGACTCAAAAGTACGAAAGTTATATTTCTTATACAGTAAAACCCCGATTTATCGCAAGGTTTGCGAGAAGGAAACAGCCGTGGTAAATCGTGGCACGGTAAATGGGGCGGTAAATGGGGCCATAAAGGAAAAATAGTACGGTAAATCGTGGTCAAATCACGTGGTTTCTCTCTGCGCGTACTGGTTCCCAATTAGGGGCGCTCGATTACAAGTTTCACGCTTGTTGTTTCACGTTTGACATCAGGGACTCATTTACAAGCCGTATTTCAAAGGACCACATGCTATCAAACTAAAAATGTAGACATTTTTCCAAAATTTTGGGAAAAACGGAAGAGTCAAGGTAAATCGGGGTTTACGATAAATCGGGGTTCACGATAAATCGGGGTTTTACTAAACACGTTTTTATTCACATGATGAGAGCCTCAAATTATGTGCTTATGTGTTACATAACAGTGTTGAAGGTATTAGGTATCGTAGACTTACTTTAACTGTTTTTATGGAACGTTTCCGTAGCAAGGATTGAGAGGAATTGTCCTGGATACAAATTAACACCCTTCAGAAATTCGCCAAGAATTAGTGATCTAGCAGTTTGTGATTTGATGACAAGACAGGTTTGGCCTCGGACATAAAGACATGTTTTGGTTTCGAAATAAAATTTTAGTTTCGAAATAAATGCATGTTTTAGTTTAGCAATAAATGCATGTTTTAGTTTAGCAATAAAGACACGTTTTAGTTTAGTAATAAAGTTTGAGTTTAGTAATAAAATTTTAGTTTGGTGATAAAATTTTAGTTTTGATATAAAATACCATTAAAACGTCACCACACGGAAAGTCACCACGTGCTGTCCGTTCTGTTTTACTGCTGGCTGTACAAGCCGACAATCAAAAACATTTTGGTGGCTTCAAATATCCATATCAGCGTATGTAATGAGAAAGTAAGCATAAATTTAGGTCATCTAATTGCTGAGTCAGACATGCCGAAAATGCCGAAATATCAGCTCCCAAATTACTATTACGATAAGGTTCAGTCGAGTAATAAAATAGAGAGTATGCACATAAGTACAATAAAGTACATTGCACGTAATGTATATAATAGTCACAAGATGAGATGAGTTTTGAAAAGATAAAAATATGACAACTAAATAAGACAAGATCTCACACCATTGGACAATAAGTTAATTAATTAATTAGTTAACAATAAAACTCACCTTGAAGTTGTAAACTTCCACGTCTCCTTCTTCTTATTGTTCTTACACAACAGTAAACTATAAGTATAACAACTAATAGCACTATTATCCCTAGTAGCAGATATAACAGTAACATCTTCAAACTGAAATAGCATTTCATTAATCAATCATCAATTACTGAATGATCTATTATAATAATCAGATGAATACCTAAATAATCATACAAATTATGAAAGAAAGTTCATGAATTAATCAAGTCCCGATCAGTGCACAAGTTTTGTTGACTCATAATGGTCAGAAGCAAGGTTAAGGATGTTTTTGTGCATTTCCCAAGAGTCCATAAAATGAACAGGGGGGAGGGTGGAAGGGAGGGGAGGGTGGAAGGGAGGGGAGGGGGAGAGGGGAGTCTTTTGCGCAACGTCGCCTGGAACATATATATGTATTTCTACCTTCTCAATTTGGAATAAGAATGATTTTTATCTGTTGTGACTTAAATGATCGACATATATTATGCTTATTAATACTTTAATAATAGCATATTATCCCCCCCCCCCCCCCCCCCCCCCCCCCCCGTAGTTTGGCGAACAGTACAGATCATATTATTTTATTTTCACTGAGAAAGATATTAGATAATATCTCGTTGGATTCTACACGATCTTTTATTTAGATGTTTTCTTGGGTAAATTGTTATTGATCCCGTTTGATGCGACAAGGAAAAGGCTCTTATCAGGAAAGGAATTATTCAACGTTTCAATGTGATAACATCGTATCCAAGATCTGTTATTTAGTACTTGTATAATTAGCTCGATCAATCAGTCTAGTTACTCATCTGATTGGAGTCAGTCAGTCTTATTTACTATTAACTTATTTATTATCAGGTTATTTGTCATTACCTCAGGCGAATCAGTCAATCCCATAAGATTAGAGTCAGGTAAAATGTTACTGTAACTATACTGCCAATTATATCGAGTCATAGATAAACTGATCTTAATCTTCTGTTTTGCCATCTTGCTAACTATATCCATAAAAAGACCTTATCTATTATACAGTTTTTTAAACATCACCTCATTTATTATTATGTTATTTACCATTAACTCGGTTTAGTTATCATAAGTTTATTTATCATTAAATCTTATACTCTTATATAATACCATCTCACGATGTAAACACAGTGATATTATCTATCATTAACTATTTTATCATAAGCTTATTCATCAGTCAATCAGGTCTCAGACCGATCAATGATTCCCATCTGATTGGAATTTAGAAGTGTTAACATGGTCAAGTGACTGATCAATGATTCCTATCTGATTGGAATTTAAAGCCAGCCAGTCACTGTTAACAGGTTATGACTCATGTAACGTGACTGATGTCACGTGATTTATGTCTAAGTATCAATTAATACCAGCCACAGATAAACTTGACATTAAGACTGTACTTTTTACACTACCAGGAGCACCATTCACAAACAAACATGCACGTGCACAAAACAAGCAAGCACGTGCACAAAACAAGCCAGCACGTGCACAAACCCGCGTGCTCTGATTAGTTCCAACTAAATCACGTGACACTTATACTGACCTGTGACTAGTACTCAGGCAGCGTACAACAAATTAGCACTTGCCTAACCCAAGTGGGTCGAATTAAGTGAATTAATTGGGATACTGAGGTTGGTAGATACCACAAGTTAGGTAATGCTGTGAGCCAGAGTAATGCTGACTGTTGAAAAGCTAAAAGTGGGGACTGAATGCTGTGAGCCGGAGTAATGCTGACTGTTGAAAGTGGGGACTGAATGCTGTGAGCCGGAGTAATGCTGACTGTTGAAAAGCTAAAAGTGGGGACTGAATGCTGTGAGCCGGAGTAATGCTGACTGTTGAAAAGCTAAAAGTGGGGACTAAATGCTGTGAGCCGGAGTAATGCTGACTGTTGAAAAGCTAAAAGTGGGGACTGAATGCTGTGAGCCAGAGTAATGCTGACTGTTGAAAAGCTAAAAGTGGGGACTGAATGCTGTGAGTCAGAGTAATGCTGACTGTTGAAAAGCTAACAGTGGGGACTGAATGCTGTGAGCCAGAGTAATGCTGACTGTTGAAAAGCTAACAGTGGGGACTGAATGCTGTGAGCCAGAGTAATGCTGACTGTTGAAAAGCTAAAAGTGGGGACTGAATGCTGTGAGCCGGAGTAATGCTGACTGTTGAAAAGCTAACAGTGGGGACTGAATGCTGTGAGCCGGAGTAATGCTGACTGTTGAAAAGCTAACAGTGGGGACTGAACGCTGTGAGCCGGAGTAATGCTGACTGTTGAAAAGCTAAAAGTGGGGACTGAATGCTGTGAGCCAGAGTAATGCTGACTGTTGAAAAGCTAAAAGTGGGGACTGAATGCTGTGAGCCAGAGTAATGCTGACTGTTGAAAAGCTAAAAGTGGGGACTGAATGCTGTGAGCCGGAGTAATGCTGACTGTTGAAAAGCTAAAAGTGGGGACTGAATGCTGTGAGCCGGAGTAATGCTGACTGTTGAAAAGCTAAAAGTGGGGACTGAATGCTGTGAGCCGGAGTAATGCTGACTGTTGAAAAGCTAACAGTGGGGACTGAATGCTGTGAGCCGGAGTAATGCTGACTGTTGAAAAGCTAAAAGTGGGGACTGAATGCTGTGAGCCGGAGTAATGCTGACTGTTGAAAAGCTAAAAGTGGGGACTGAATGCTGTGAGCCGGAGTAATGCTGACTGTTGAAAAGCTAACAGTGGGGACTGAATGCTGTGAGCCGGAGTAATGCTGACTGTTGAAAAGCTAAAAGTGGGGACTGAATGCTGTGAGCCGGAGTAATGCTGACTGTTGAAAAGCTAACAGTGGGGACTGAATGCTGTGAGCCGGAGTAATGCTGACTGTTGAAAAGCTAAAAGTGGGGACTGAATACTGTGAGCCGGAGTAATGCTGACTGTTGAGTGTTGAAAAGCTAAAAGTGGGGACTGAATGCTGTGAGTCAGAGTAATGCTGACTGTTGAAAAGCTAAAAGTGGGGACTGAATGCTCTGAGCCAGAGTAATGCTGACTGTTGAAAAGCTAAAAGTGGGACTGAATGCTGTGAGCCAGAGTAATGCTGACTGTTGAAAAGCTAAAAGTGGGGACTGAATGCTGTGAGCCAGAGTAATGCTGACTGTTGAAAAGCTAACAGTGGGGACTGAATGCTGTGAGCCGGAGTAATGCTGACTGTTGAAAAGCTAAAAGTGGGGACTGAATGCTGTGAGCCGGAGTAATGCTGACTGTTGAAAAGATAAAAGTGGGGACTGAATGCTGTGAGCCGAAGTAATGCTGACTGTTGAAAAGCTAAAAGTGGGGACTGAATGCTGTGAGCCGGAGTAATGCTGACTGTTGAAAAGATAAAAGTGGGGACTGAATGCTGTGAGCCAGAGTAATGCTGACTGTTGAAAAGCTAAAAGTGGGGACTGAATGCTGTGAGTCAGAGTAATGCTGACTGTTGAAAAGCTAAAAGTGGGGACTGAATGCTATGAGCCAGAGTAATGCTGACTGTTGAAAAGCTAAAAGTGGGGACTGAATGCTGTGAGCCAGAGTAATGCTGACTGTTGAAAGGCTAAAAGTGGGGACTGAATGCTGTGAGCCGGAGTAATGCTGACTGTTGAAAAGCTAAAAGTGGGGACTGAATGCTGTGAGCCAGAGTAATGCTGACTGTTGAAAAGCTAAAAGTGGGGACTGAATGCTGTGAGTCAGAGTAATGCTGACTGTTGAAAAGCTAAAAGTGGGGACTGAATGCTGTGAGCCGGAGTAATGCTGACTGTTGAAAAGCTAAAAGTGGGGACTGAATGCTGTGAGCCAGAGTAATGCTGACTGTTGAAAAGCTAAAAGTGGGGACTGAATGCTGTGAGCCGGAGTAATGCTGACTGTTGAAAAGCTAAAAGTGGGGACTGAATGCTGTGAGCCGGAGTAATGCTGACTGTTGAAAAGCTAAAAGTGGGGACTGAATGCTGTGAGCCGGAGTAATGCTGACTGTTGAAAAGCTAAAAGTGGGGACTGAATGCTGTGAGCCGGAGTAATGCTGACTGTTGAAAAGCTAACAGTGGGGACTGAATGCTGTGAGCCGGAGTAATGCTGACTGTTGAAAAGCTAAAAGTGGGGACTGAATGCTGTGAGCCGGAGTAATGCTGACTGTTGAAAAGCTAAAAGTGGGGACTGAATGCTGTGAGCCGGAGTAATGCTGACTGTTGAAAAGCTAAAAGTGGGGACTGAATGCTGTGAGCCGGAGTAATGCTGACTGTTGAAAAGCTAAAAGTGGGGACTGAATACTGTGAGCCGGAGTAATGCTGACTGTTGAGCTGTTGAAAAGCTAAAAGTGGGGACTGAATGCTGTGAGTCAGAGTAATGCTGACTGTTGAAAAGCTAAAAGTGGGGACTGAATGCTCTGAGCCAGAGTAATGCTGACTGTTGAAAAGCTAAAAGTGGGGACTGAATGCTGTGAGCCGGAGTAATGCTGACTGTTGAAAAGCTAAAAGTGGGGACTGAATGCTGTGAGCCGGAGTAATGCTGACTGTTGAAAAGCTAACAGTGGGGACTGAATGCTGTGAGCCGGAGTAATGCTGACTGTTGAAAAGCTAAAAGTGGGGACTGAATGCTGTGAGCCGGAGTAATGCTGACTGTTGAAAAGCTAAAAGTGGGGACTGAATGCTGTGAGCCGGAGTAATGCTGACTGTTGAAAAGCTAAAAGTGGGGACTGAATGCTGTGAGTCAGAGTAATGCTGACTGTTGAAAAGCTAAAAGTGGGGACTGAATGCTGTGAGCCAGAGTAATGCTGACTGTTGAAAAGCTAAAAGTGGGGACTGAATGCTGTGAGCCAGAGTAATGCTGACTGTTGAAAAGCTAAAAGTGGGGACTGAATGCTGTGAGCCAGAGTAATGCTGACTGTTGAAAAGCTAAAAGTGGGGACTGAATGCTGTGAGCCGGAGTAATGCTGACTGTTGAAAAGCTAAAAGTGGGGACTGAATGCTGTGAGCCGGAGTAATGCTGACTGTTGAAAAGCTAAAAGTGGGGACTGAATGCTGTGAGCCGGAGTAATGCTGACTGTTGAAAAGCTAAAAGTGGGGACTGAATGCTGTGAGCCGGAGTAATGCTGACTGTTGAAAAGCTAAAAGTGGGGACT